GAGATTTAAATGCGAAGGACACGACGAAGACGAGAGTAACGTTTCATTCGGACGGTGTTGGTGCACGCTTGAACGAAATGCTTATGATTAATGCTGTCGACACCGCGTAGGAATGTTAATCGACGCGAGAAACTCTCTCTCTCTCTCTTTTTCTCACCTCTCTCTTTCTTTATCTTTTTTCCCCCCTCCTTCTTCGGACCTTTCGCGCATCGTTCTTTATCCGGTGCGTGCGATAAGCCTCGTTATCGAGACGATCGCGAAGAGATGACGTCTCATTAATTACCGCTCTGGCCGCACGTTATTCTGTCGATAATTCGTCGCTGGTCCGACCGGTTCGTCCTCACAATCAATTGCAGGCTCATCGGAGGCCGCGTAAGCAATCACGACGTCGGTTAACGATTAGTTATTCCCATAGTTAGCTTTAGGCTGCGCCCCGAGTTACGGGCGCATCGTCTGCGCGCAACCTACGTGTGTATTCGCCAAGAAGCTGCTTCGCGAAGCGTTCGTGCGATTTCGGGGTGAATTGTGAAAGCCGGCTGCGTAGTTCGCAAAATTTCCAGCCGCGAAAACTCGGTAGAAATTCTCAGACAAGCACTCTCACGGTCGGTCGAGGAGAATGCTCGGTGAAAAGAAACGTAAGCACGCGCCGTCTCAACGGTATCTCTTACAAAGTGCGGAGAATTTCACTCTATAGAGGGAGAAGTAATGTTGCGGAAGAAATTAATGACCGCGTTAAGTCCGCTCAGGTCGTAACGACTCCATAAACTTTGACCTTTCTCCGCGAAAGAGAAAACATATAAAAACTCGCATAATCGAGAATTAATCGAACGAAAATAATGCGCGTCTCGCGATAATCGCGGCGGATAATTCAAATTCAGCAGAAATTGTATAAGCCCGGGCATATGCTCGATTTGGGAATATAAGTGATTGAATCGCGCGGATCCGCGCGCGCAGCTGTTATTCCAATCAGTCCGCGGAATTAATTGTCCTCCCCTTCCCGTCCTCTCGCCAGCGCGTGGAGCTGCCTTGTAATTAATTTGCATTAATTGCGCACCGGCCGCATCGTACGATCTGCGAATGTAAATTTCATAAGGAACAATCTCGCGAATCGTAATCCCTGTGTCTCGCGGCACGAATATCAATGACAGATGGCGTCGTAAATAACGAGACACGTTTTCCGTCATGAGAGCAAACCTCGGAAGAAGTTAATCGAAGATTGCTCCATGTTGAGTCCCTTCGGGGGAACGACGAAAGCATCCCCGCTCTTTCGCATGCAAACGAAGCGACTGGTTCTCGATGTGTCGCTGACTCGTCGTTCATTTGATCGCCTCGAATCCGTGATACAATGTGCGCTTTATGTGTCAGGTATTTCGTAGGCGGAAAAGCGAGAAACGCATTCACGATAATTCACGTAATTTCGCGTTTTATGTTCTCACACGGTAACAATTTGGCGTTGAATTCAACACATTTCGCATATCCTTAACAGTCCGCTCAAATTTTTTGTATTAGTTTAACATTAAGGTGAATATGTTGAAAAGTAATATAAATATTATGCCAGAAATTAATACAAAATTAATAATCGATACTGAAGCATCAAATGTGTTATTTTAACACTTATACATGTTGAATATTGATACAACGCAAAATGTTGAGACAGCATAAACACAATACGTCAAAATAACACACAGGTATGTTAAAAATTTAACACACAAATTTTAACAAGGACTGACTTTAACGCAAGTATAAAAATGTTTTTCGCACACAATAAAAAAATGTGTGTTAATTTTAACACGTTTCACACGATCCGAGATGTTTACTGAAATTTTTGTATTAATTTAACACAAGGTGACTAAGAAGTAACACAAATATTATGTCAAAAATTAAGACGTTAATCATACTGAAGTATAACATGTGCGATTTAATATTTATATATGTCAAATATTGACTCAACATAAAATGTTAAGATAATATAATGTTAAATTATATTATTAACATATGTTAAATTAATACGTATGGGTTAAAGATTAATACAAAAATTTTAACAAGGACCGATTTTTCAGCACATATACAAAATGTTTTCTATTGTGCACACGTTACGCCTTACGCGAATGCGCGAATACGTCGACTCGTTCCGCCATTGTCCACTTTTCAAAGCGACATCGATCACTTCCTCGATACGCGATATTGCGGTGCTACGTGTTTGCATTGCCGCGTAACCCCTAATGCTCTCTAATTCTCATACACCCGATGTATGACGCAGGCACATGCACCGCACTCAGGTCACGTATCCAGGCTCTGACCTACTGACACTATCCCGTGACGTCACGGGAGAACAGTAGAGACCGCGAAAGGGTGGCAAGGCTGAAATGGGTGGGAGGCACTTTCCTATCCTGACGAAGATGTTTTCTCCGGCACGTAGCAGCGACGGGGTATGATTCAGAAAGTAAAAATACGAGAGGGCGCGTTTAAGCGATAGGGCCGAATAAATGTTGAAACGACAAAAAAATACACGTATATTCCTCGCTACTCGTCTCGTCGGCGTGAAATTGTTAACACCCGTTCCAACGAAATTCCTCTATATTCGCGTGTCACGGTCGACTAATCGCCGTGCTTGCCGACGGCCAACGTCAGACGATCATCCTGGGGGCGACGTCATCCTTTGTCTAAATTCTCGCGCTCTCCCGCACCGCTTCATATGTTATTTTACATTTTTGTACGCCTCTTTACACGTATTTTCGATCGAATTTTTTACCCACGCGAGCAGGAGAACTTAATCCGGTCGCGAGCACACGGACGACCCGGCGGCCCGAAACCGAGGGATATGAGAAAAATCATCGCGCGGTCGGCAGAGGAGTCCCTATCGCCAAGAGCCGTCAACGTCAACGACGTCAGTGGCAGGTTCTTCGGCTGGTTAGCACTGCTCGAGCACCCTCGTCCGACCTGAGAGAACCGACGTTCGGATTCCTGACTTTTTCAACAGAGATCGAGACCTTAAATTCGACTTACCAAAGTACGCAAGCAAAATTCGCTAAATTCGTCTCGCGCGGTTTTCAACGAAATCGCACTGCTCGTCAGGTCGACCTTATCGAGCAGCGGACAACCACACAGTCGACCGCCACATGTGCGATGCAAACGCGGTGTCCTTCCGGTTTGCTAAACATTTCCCCGAAAAATGTCCTCGCCCCCACATTCAAACCACCTCCGCATATTTTAGCAACGGGCGACGTCATTGCTTATTTGCACCCGGAATACGGTATTTTCCGGCTGACTTGCGGAAACGCGTTCTCGTATCCCGTTCGCCTTGACATCGTAACGGGATATCTGGTATATATATATATATCTCCAGCATCACGCGCGTTTGACCTCCCTCGCACTTTTCCGTCGTCCATCACGTCTTGTCGATGTGCTGAATGATGGCCCGCTCAACATCGTGAATTTTCGCGTTGTCCTCGCAGCTTTAAACGTCAACCAACGTGGAAGACTATCCGCCTTCCAATGGTACTCTCGAAAGTGCAGTCAGTATATTATCACTGAGAGGCAGTCAATAATGATCATAGTTACGAATATAACATTGTAAGTCAGTAAAATTTTATTGCAAAAATCTGTTAATAGCAGCAATCGTTTCAACCGGAGAAATTTAGAACTGTAGAAATAGTGAGAAAAGATATTATTTATTACTTTTTTCTATTATCTTAATCCTCACTCTCAAAATATTGTCAACGATTTTACCTGAAATATTCTTAATTATTTTTAATTGATTTAATTTATATTGTATTTGAAAATGCTTATCTTGATGGGGCTTGAACTCAAAAACTTGAGCTCTTAAGTCTGTTATCATATGAACTATGCAAATATAACATATGATTGAATGTATAATAAAAAAGCATTTTGTACTTGTGTTAAAATCGATTTTTGTTAACATTTTTGTGTTAAATTCTTAGTAAAATTTTTAACATACTTGTGTGTTAATTGAATATATTATGTTTATGTCATCTCAACATTTTGTGTTGTGTTAATATCGAACATGTATAAACATTAAATAACACATTTTACACTTTAATGTCTATTAACGTATTAATTTTGTATCAATTTTGGATATAATATTTGTTTTACTTTTCAACATATTCACCTTGTGTTAAATTAACACGAAAATTTGAATGGATCGTTTGGAACGTATGAAAATGTGTTAAATTTAATGCAAATTTTCTTACTGTATACGATATGTATATATTTTTTGCTACGGAACGCGTAACAACGATTTGTAGTGACTCTTTCACTGGCCAAAATCAGTGAAGTATTAGATAAAAGAACTAAATAGAAAAGCTTTCACTAAAATTAGTGAATATTCATTGATTATCAGTAGAATACTGTTTTACCGATTTAATTAGTAACATTTTCAATGATTCAACCTAATAAAGCACTATATCCGTCTCTATCTCTCTCTCTCTCTCTCCCCCTCCCCCTTGCCCTCTTCATATGTACATGAAATGAAATATGAAGCGTTTCAGAATGCCATTAATTCTGTCGTCAAGTGACTCTATGCACTCATCCTGCCTGCAACTCACGTGTATCATATCTTTATCCACAAGAGCTGAATCCTTAGTCTTGCATCTATTATACTTAAGTCGCTACTGTCGGCGACGTGGTTCTATGTTGAATTATTGATTCATATTGATTCACGTATTATCAGCTTAATGTCTCCTTTCTCTTGCTCTCTTTCTCTCTCTGTGAAATAAACCTACGCCTGCCTCATGCACAATTACCGATATCACGATTCCACCGAATTCTACGGAATTATGTCCGCTGTGATATCTGCGATATCGGTAGAAAAATACTCGACGTTATTTGAACGACGTTATAATTCGTAGAGCCTTACGGACGGTCGTTTCTCTTGCAAATGGAGAAATTTCACAGGAGTACTATCCTATCGCTAATCGAATCGTTGCCCTTGCTATCCTAAATCCTACCACCATCTTTCTACCAGCGTTCACGGCCGTTCTATGTTTCGGATAGTCGACCGATATTCCAGTTTCAGGCAAAACGCCAGCGAGCAGATCTATAAGGTCAGTCCTGACACGTAAAAACGTGCGGCCAATGCGAAATTTACCCCGGAGTTCCCTGCCAAATGGGTCACTCCGCTGGGAAGAAGAGAGGGTGAGAAGGTTACGACGACGAAGACGTCGCGCGGCCATAAAAGTCGAAACGCTCACCGGCCGACACGCGCGAACGTGTTCGAGACGAGTACGGGCTCTAAGCGAATTACCTGGGATCCACACGTGGGATCTCGAGGAGCCTTGAAATGCTACGACGGCCATGAAATCGATCGTCCGGCTGCGCGATGGTTTCTCGCGCGATCTTGAAACCAGCGGAGCTAGCGAGGGGCCGAACGTATCACCTGTCGACTTGGAGCGCCGCGGCGTTATATTATCAAAGATTTATTCTCGCATGAACGAGCCCCGACAACTTCTCCTCCCTCGCCGCTTCCTGCCAAGTATCCCTGCGATGACAGATCTCTTTACCGCGCCGTCGCTTCGTTATCATTTCAAGTAACGAAGTCTGACTTCGATTTAAGACGATACGGGCGATCGCCGGTTACCGTCGGTTACGGTCAGCATAACTTACGCGCGCCGGACTCTCATTCTTATCGCGCAACGAAAAATAAGAAATCGCGGTTCGTGCCGTCTGGTTGTCCCTGGAGTACTTATAATAAAAATGTAGACACCGCGTCGCTGTGGTTGCCATGTTTGGGTTTTAAAACTGGAAATTCACAACCACAATTTCCAGATATACTGTTAAAATAAGTGCAAACCAATAAATTCATCACAATATGGAACACACAAACTCACTTTTTTTATCGCACCTTGTAAACTTCGTACATTTCGCGAATCTTTGTTCGCGTTGTTCGCAATTCAGCTGATAACTTGGTTGCTTTCCAGCAAGAGACACAAGTCGACATAACCCGAGTAAAAAAATTTTACTTCTACGTTAAGTCTTCAAGTGGAGAAAACGGGCAATAACTTCCCCATTTGTAGCACCGAAGGAACATAATAGAAGGCTTATAAACATTTAATATAGAACTATATTAAATTTAAAATAGGACTAAAATTTCGACTTGGGAAGCCTAGTTATATCATTATTCGTTGTCATCATACGCTTACTTCGCACCTGGTGAAGAAAAAGATAATAGATGACATGACTACATTTGCGTCGACTTTTGTTTCTAGCTGGAAAGCAACCTTCGACACATCCCAACTGGAAGCTGACCCGAACACGACGGAGCCAATCAGACACATATGGTGTTTATATTCTTACTGTGGATACTCTAATTGTTTCACTTCCGCGCGAGGCCAATTTCACACGAGCCGATCTTTCAGAGGAAAATCCGCCGTAACTGCTCTCACGAGGCTCTTCAACTAAATTTCCAATTGTTCACCCGCAGATGCTGTTTGTCTGGGAGCGGACGCCAAATCTCAAAGCTAGTCCGTGGTTAGCCTGGATTACGACGGCCGTTGTGCTGTGGGGCTACCGAGGTCGTATCGCCCGGGCAGTCCTCGCGGTTTCCCCGCTGAGGTTGCTGAAGAGGCGAGCCGCCAACCCGACGGCCAGTCAGAAGATACCATCCACGATTATTTTGAAGCAGCGCAAGCGGCACAGCCTCGCGCACTTGCACAAGCACAAGACCGCCAGTCTACGACGCGTCAAGCGACTGTACACCGGCGACGGTCCGCACGTGCCCAGCGCCGTGTCCGTGATCCAAGCAGGACCTCCCCAGATCCACTACAGGGTCACCAGGAGCGGCAGGGTCTACGGGAAGTACGCGAACAAGGTCGCCATCCGGAATGGAAGCGGCATACAAGAAAGCCATTGACGCCGCATTAGGGATTATCGAGCTTCCAACCGCCCTCCCTCGTCTCTGCGTGTGTGTGTATGCGCGCATGTCGTCACATGATCGTCGTGATCGTCAACGTAATTCCGTGTCCTCCGAAACAATGTAAATACATATACGATGTACTCCCCTCCCTTCCTCTCACGTAGCGCTTCTTTCTTTCTTACGCAGAAAAAGTGTTGGATTCGAGTAAATGATTACTCTAATGCTCCTTAACAAATTTTTACTTGGATTAATGTAAGTTTCACGTGGATCAAGTAAATGTTTAACTTGGATAATTTACTTGGAAAATATTTTACTTGGATCCAAGAGAAAATTTGCTAAGGAATATTGAAGTAATTACATGGTACGCAATTTTGCGTAAGTAGCGCTCTACTGAAATTTTCATGTTACTTTAACGTGAGAATATGTTAAACAGTATACAAATATATGTTAAATTAACATATTCACCTTATTAATATATTACTTCTTAACATATTCAGCTTGATAAAGTAACATAAAAATTCCAGCGGACCGTTATTCACTGCAAATTTTTTCTGTGTATTTATTTAAATCTTGCACCTCTTTCTGTATTTCGTTTTTGTTTTTCCATAAAAGTATCGCGCTCGCTGTCCCTTAAGTTCCAGTTCCTTGAAATCCTACCCTTTCCAAGCCCGAGGGAAGTAGTCGTGACAGTTTCCCTGCGTTTTCCTCAGACGGTTTTGTGTGTGGACAGTCTACCGGACAGTTTAACTCGGCAGTACTCGGAAAAGGTGTTTTTGTTTCGACCACTCGCCGCTCCATAATCATCGCGGAATATGAAACACAAACACTACGTACAACGTGCGGATTACATGTTTCGTGGAATCGAATAATATATCTTAATTTGACAAATTGTCGGGTTGAGGAATTCAATGAAAATTCGTTATCTCCCCGCCCGCGCGGGTCGTAGAATATTTTTGCGCGTAAACAAGTTCCACGGAGAAACGACGGTGGTGCAACAACGGTGCCTTTAATCGGTGAGTCAATTAGCGCGCGGCGTAACGAGAAAAGTTTAAAAAAATCGGCAGCGAACGCGGTACGATTGATAACGACCTTTCGCTTCCCTAGAGCCATTTTTACTGCCAATTATACTACAATCTCTGCTCGCTCGAGCGTACTCGAAATGCGTTTTTCCCGAGAAAGGTTCTACGCGAATATCCCCATAAGAAGGAACGTGAGTCCGCTCATTTTCAACGTCCTCGGCATACTTTCGAGTGCAGGATCGCTTGGTAAAGACCTTCCCAAAGAGGTCATCATGGCATTCAGTGTTTCGGACTTTTCTTGTTGCATTCATCTCCCTCGGCCAACTGCTAATCAATAAGAGGTAGCTGCGTTTAGGAGGTCTCGTGCATTTATACAGGGTGTTCCCAGAGCGTGTCTCACAAGCGCCGCCTTCCGCGGATGTTTTAACCAAAACTGATTTTTCTCCAACAGAAGCCCCGGCAGGAATACAATTGGAAAATACGAGTAAACGACAATTTGAAGATCCTTGAATCGAAATTTTAGTCCTGCTTTCAGTCTAATTTAGTTCTACGTTAAATGTTCAGAAGTCTTCTATTGCTCCTTTGGTGCTATAAATGGGGAAGTTGTTGCCGTTTTATCCACTTGAAGGCTTAATGTAGAAATAAAATTTAGACTCTGGAAGACTAAATTGCTTTTGTAGCATTAAAGGAATACTTACTGTGTTCTTTTGATGCTACAGGTGGAAACTTATTTCCGTTTTGCACTTGAAGACTCTATATAGAATTTAAAATTTCGATTTGGATATTCTCTCCTTCTCTCTCTCTCTCTCTCTTTCCGAAACTCCTCGCGCGTAACGTGATTCTTGTATATTGATACGAGAATGAAAAAGAGGAGGGGAGGAACAATCTCCAGCTTGGTATGCGTCCTCGAATCTGGATTTTTCAACGAAAGGGAGACTTTCGCCGCAATTGGAATGACGGAACGTCTAAAAATGTCTTTCCCTAAGCTGTCGCGCGAACGGTATATCGCGGAAAAGCGCTCGTTGGCACAGCCCAAGTAACAATGAAATGCTGCAGAACTTTCGTATCAGAGATGTGCCAATTTGACGGCACAATGCCCGCGGTTTCAGAATGAGCGAGCGTATGGAACATGTGCGTCGTCGAGAGCAGAATAGTGGGTAACTGTGCTAAATTTAATCATTCAGTACCCCCGGCCACGTCACTGACATCAGGATTGCGCTCGTTGCGTTATCCTGAGGATTGCGCAGGACGCACTGCGTTCCCCGTATCGTCCGCTTCAAAATTATATAAAGTAAAAGTATCTTATATAATGCCTGGACACGTATTTACTTCTAAACACATATACATTACTATTGTTTTGGCCTTTAGGTGCGAATACTTTCAACATAGGATATTCGTACATATATTGAATATATACAAATATTTTGTATTTAAAGTCTCAATATTTGTATTTGAAAACCGAAACAACAAGAATGTTCACAGTTATACTAAAAAACTCCATTTATTTGAATTCACGCAAAATTTGATTCTCACAATCAAAACATCCGTTTGCTCGTATCTAAATCAAATTTTGCTTGGGTCAATTAAATAGGGTTTTCAGTGTAAGTACATACGTGTCCAGGAATCGGTACTTTTACTTTAGGATACGACCGATCTCTCGAACTTCAAAATTCGGATAAAGAGAGAGAGAGAGAGAGAGAGAGAAGGTGGAAGAGAAAGGAAGATGAGATGCGAGAATCGTGATTGTATCGCAGGAGGAAAATTCTCATCACACATTCGGGATTGAATCGAGAATTCGAGAACCCGTATACGAATAGCCGAGTGCGCGGCAAAAAATAGTTTACGGCCGAGGGAATTAACAATTCAAATTGAAGCTCGGCGAGCGAGCGAATGATTAAGCTAAAATTATCGCGAAGAAGGCCGCATTAATATGCGGGTTTCGCAGTTTCCTTGTCTCAAACGCTTTAAATTACCGCCGCGTGACATCGAGCAAAATCCTAATGAAGTGTCTAAAGACCCAATTTAAATTTCCGTCCGGTGTAATTAACGCACAACGTATGCAGCCTGGAAACTAATAAGGATGACGTTCTCGTCGATCCGGCCGCTTTAATCAAAAGGGCTGCGAATAAATTACGGAGATGACTTCATCGACGCATTTACGGCCAGTCAATGAAGGCATCGCCGAAGAAGCGACTAACGCGAAGATTAACGACGTCCCGTCCGACGTAGAGCAGAGACATGACTTTCAAATTGTACGTGGAACGATCCCGGCTGGTGGTCGAGGGAAACCGAGGTAAAACAAAAACGACAGAGCAGGAGATCCGCTTGGCGGAAACGCCGAAGGGCTGGAGTAACCGAGCGTGCGACGATCGATAACAAAACATCTCGGTCTCGAGGTCGGGAACACCGCTCGGACGATCATTCCCGTTATCAACAGGCTGCCCGCGTTATTTCTCAGGTTAAGTCCGACGGTCGGACACCCTCGGAACGAGCCGTCGTTGGTCTCGCGCTCGGCAGTCGTTCGCGACGGCAGGGTCGCAGCCTCGAATGCGCCGCGAAAATGCCCGGATGGGAAAGGGTGGATCGGGGGCGGCGCGCAAGCGTCGTTGCCGTCGTATCGACGCCTCGATGCCCGGGCCAAGGGAGAAAAGCGGACTTCTCGCCGCCAGTAGTGGTAGAAGTCCCGGTCGGGGTCGAGCGAGAGTGCAAGTATGCGCGTGTGTGCCTAGCGGTGTGTGCTTCTACGAGTGCATCTCGAGTGCGTCTCTCTCGCGGCGACGACGACGTCGCCATACGGTACAGCTACGACGTCGACGAGGAGGAGAACGAGAGGCGAACGAAGAACGACGTGGTGACGTAGAGGACGACGCGTTATCAGCGTCTCTCGGTCATCGCTGCTGACTCAGCCGGATCTCGCGCGGAGAAAAAAGTGGCGCGGAGGGTGCACGACAGAGAAAAAGAGAGGGAGGGAGCTGTGAGAAGCACCGGCTAAGCTGCTGGTGTACACGCGATCAGGATGCGACCGAGGAGGTACGTGTTGGTGTCGGTTGAACGTGGCCAAAGATGGCAGTGAGTAGCGCACGCGACGTTACGGGATATTTGGAGGCCCACGGATGCTGCGTGACCGTGACGCGACGTCGTTGCTTCCTTACGCGAGGTATTCCGTGTGCGAACACTGTGCGTCGGCATCTTTGTGCCGCTTCATTCCTCTGATCGCGACGCGCTGGTCCCCGAGTGACCGTTCGAAGGACCACGGGAGATGAGAGAGAGAGAAAGAGCGAAGAGACGGGGAGAAGCGGGCGCCCGGTGTGCGCGTCCTCGCGGCAAGTCGAGTCCTTTGAATGCCACAACCGCGGAGTCTTGCGCAATTCTGTATACGCGGCTGATCGCGATCCACGGGATTGTCTCGTAAAAACACCCGCCCTGTGCCCCGAAGCGCGTATACCCAGCGCTCTCGTTTGTTGACATTCCTCGCTTGTACCTTCCTCCGTGTCACCTTCGTTGAATCTCGCGCGTTCCACCTCCCCCTTCCGCCGCTCTCTATAACTTTGTAATTCTCTTCCGTTCTCCTTCCTCAACTGCGTTTCGCGATAGAAGCATTTCAATCCTTTCTTCCCAGCAAACAGTAGCGCACCAATGTTACAAGTGGCTTTTTAACAAGAGAAACACAAGTCGATATCCTTTTCCTCGCCAAATGAAATAAGGGCAAATGATTGAGGTAACTAAATTTGTGTCGATTCGTGTCTCTTGCTAAAAAGCAAAGTAATTTCCCATTCAACGATATAAATGCAATATAATGCGCGTATTATATAACAGTTACAGTTATTGTTGAATGGAAAATTTATATTACATTGATGTTACGTTACTGTTAGTCGGTGTTTGCTGCGCGTACCTGGCGATTCGGATTAACCGATGACGAAGTAAAATAAAATTGCGTGTTGTGTGCAATGTGTCACGTTATCGTGTCTTTACAGCTTACCTAATTCGCCAGGCCGAATTGGCTCCTGTGTACCTGTGCGATTATCTTTCTTATCGGTAGCACCGTTTGAGGCCCGTTCGATTGGGCGTATCTGTAAATTGCGTATCCGCGTGACGTGATAACGTGTCGATTAATCAACATTGCCTAACGTGAAATCCGCGATGATAATTTTTCCCGGCCATTTATCGAGTCCCCGTTGTACGGGGGGAGGGGGGGGGGATATATTCTTTTAGCGACATCGATCGAAAACCATTTATTCGCGGATGAATTCGCTTTTTCGTACTTTTTATTCTTTTTGACTCGGCGCAAAATTGCCACAAAGAGCCGCTAATGAGTGCACACACGGGGGACTGCGCTAAAATTTCACGTCGCGAGCCGAGCCACGCGGACGTATCGGCTTGGGAAATTTGCGATGTGCATTGACTCGCGCGCGCGTCTCTCTCTCTCTCTCTCTCTCTCTCTTGTGGTTTCATCCCTTATCGCGACACATGCGCATGACTGGGCAAATATTCGGTTAACTAAACAAAAGAGAGAAAGCGGCCGCCCGTCGCTGTGTCTGGCACGGCTTCGGTTGTCGGTTCGCCATCGTCATCCTCGTCCTCGTCGTCGCATATCCCGATAGGAGAGAGAGAGCGCTCTCGCTCTGGCGGTAATTGAAGAGCCCCGCCGGGAAAAGCGTCGCTCCGTGCTTTCTTTTTTGTCGGCCGCAATGAGACCGCGCTGTTGATTGCCATCGGATATGAGAATGGATAAAAATAGCGGCGGTTCGAACCCGCAGGAGGCCGCGTCGTCGGATCAACCCTCTCATTCCTCGGTGTAGTCGCACACGCGCGGCTAACACATCGGGGAACCCGAATTAGATTAAAGAATTAAACCGAAGATTAAGTTAGATATATTTAATTGAGTTAAACCAACATGCCGTCCCGAAGCCCGATGCCTCGGTCTGTCGATGGGAAGGTCGAAAAAGCAACCGTCTGTCCGACGACGTTACGGATCAATGTTTACGACTGGAAGTCAAATTGACAGAGCGAAATATCATCGTACGAATTAGTCGATAGACGAGAGAGAGAGAGAGAAAGAATTCGTGTTCCGCACGCGCCACTATCTCGCTCTCTATTTACATGACGAAATTACTCGCGAAATCGTGTTTCCACGCCGTTACGACAGCTGGCCGCGCTTGTACCCGAGATATTATCCTGCGAAATAATGCCCGCGATACGCCGGGACAGCCCGAAACGTCGTTTGACATTTCTCTCGTAATTTCCTACTTTAAATGGGCGAATCTTTACGTAAATTTGTCAAATACATGCAACAGCTTTCCTTTTGCACTCGGATATCCTAGTTCCACCGAATATCTCTTCGGCTATATATTCTCCGATCGAGCCGCAGGTGATATTTCCTCAGCGAGGAGAAAAATGGAAAAACGCGCCGTTATTCGTAACACGACTATACCCGTTTTCAAGATTATCTATCTTTGCGACTGAACTTGAAATCGAAGCTTTACGTCGATGTAAAGTCCGTGTGAAATCAACTGATAAAAAACACTTCGTTGCTCGCTCGTTTCTATCAGGCTTATTTCGCGAGAAAATCCAACATTCGTCCGACGACAAATTTTTTAACGCGCTAACGTATTCCTCGATAACCGAGAACTGTTTAGTACCTCGACATTTTTATCAGGGGAACATCGATTCCAAAGAGTTAATCAAGAAATAGCGGAAGGGATATCGGGGCGATTTCGGAGCACTTTCTGTGTATTATCACTCAGGTGGCGAGTCATTAGCGACTCTATAAGGTGAGGCACGAGGCATTAATAAAGTCAGCGACGTAGAGTGACGTGTTTTCGGCCAACTGAGGCTTTCTTCATTCTGCGCCAATAAGCGGCTAATATTGTAATCAACGTAACCGCCCGGAAGTAAAAACAATTATCTCGCACGACGATATATCCACGTCATCAAAGGAGAAAATCGTTCTAGCGATTTTTGCTTTTACTCCTACGTTTCGAAATCGGAATACAACGAAAGCTCAGCGCATACAATGCGAGAAGGAAATATTTAAGTCGCTTTCTCTCCACGTTGAAACGAAGTGTTTCCCTCATAAAGCCCGACACATTTTCTTCGATCAATGTTACTACGCCGCGGTAGAAAAAAAAAAGCTACTAGCTATTATTTCGTGTTCCGGTAATCTCGTCGATCGACATCTGTGTATTGTACGTTTTCCTTTTTCTCTCTCCCGCCCCCCCCCTCCCTTTTTCCTCTTTTTACGTCCGCTAAAATAAGAAAAATCGGTAGCGAAGTCACGCGTCGTCGAAGACCGACCGGTGGCGGCGACGCGAGAGACCAGCGAGCATAGCAGCTTAATTGCTTGAACCGTATAATACACACGGGGATTCATTAAGCTGCTTTTCATGTAACAAAGTCTCGAGTGTCGCATGTCGACGCTTAGAACGCTTTGCTTATAATTAAGCAGACATTATGGTCGATAATTACGACATGTATCGATTTTCGAGTCGATTATGCCGCTTTCATGCGGGCGCAACGCCCACGCATCGGTCAGAGCCACAGCTGCTTTTGAATTGTTGTTCGCTGCAGGCTCGCTGAAAGACCAAGTCCGATGGAAAACGTGATCTGATGCCCGGGGAAACGTCCGGCCGAAGATTCCGACTGCTGTCGCAAACGGGTTTATCTGCGAATTCAACGGATCGCATCTCCGATGCCGTTCTCTTTGTTAGAGGGAATTGAATCTCCCCTTTCTCTCTCTCTCTCTCTCTCTTGTTCACTCTTTTTAACATTTTTGCTATCAAATTATAATATTTTTAGAGCAATTGTCCTAGGTCGATAATAAAAGCATCTATTTATCAATCTATCTATCTCTCTTCTGAAAAAAACTTATAATTTCAAAGCTCGGAAAAACTGGTTTTCTCCCACTTTTCTGCGGATTTCTTCGGTTTCTGTCCCAGAAAGGTAGAAAAATTCACGTGTGTTCGGTTAAAACCTGCTCCGTTTACTTTTTTCCGTAAAAAAGATAAGAAATCTAGGAAATAAATACGGAAGAAAATCAGTTTTGCCTGATCTCTTAAAACTGTATAATTGAAGCTTTCTTTGGACTTCGTTCCGTCGATTGTGCGCGCGAGACGATTATATATAAATTTATCAATTTCCATAACTGCTGACGGGCCGGCTGTTTTGCCGCTTCGCCGAGCTCGTCGAGACTTCTTATCGTCCGAGCGCGCGAACTGTACATACATAGCGAGCGCTCGAATGTCGTGTGCACTCCAAGTGATTAATTATCGCACGCGCAATCGGCGCGCATTGAGAGAGAAAGAAAGAGAGAGAGAGAGAGAGAAGCGCCCGGTCGCGGATAATCGCGTGCAAAAAGTGCGATGCACTCGGTTGGCCGTGTGTGCAATGTCAAGGATCCCGAGACTGTCCTCTTTCTCTCTCTCCCTCTTTCTCATGCACACCCACCGCTTTACATGTTTCGTGTTGTCGAATAGTGTCACGTGTCACGGCGTGATATCCGGCCCGCGCATAAAATGCGGGCGCTCCGCTTTAATTCGGGAAATGCGATGGACGGTACGCGGTGTTACACGATACGCCCCTCCATTCAGGATCGACCTCGGCTAAATTATGAATGGCGGTCGATACTTAGGGAGGGAAAGCGTCGCGCGGGCTGTTCACGAGTGCGCTCCCACAAGAGAAGAGAGCTACGTGGCTTTCACGGTAAAATAAAAAAAAGAAGGAAAAGTACGTGGCGACGACAACTGCGGCGGGATATTATCGACACGAACGATCCAGCAGAAACTTGTCCAATATCCTCGCTACACCTCGCTGTGTTATCCGACCGATCTACCCCTCGGGATTCAATTTCCCCGCGTCATCCCCCACCTATGGCCGAGCTACGCTGACACACTGACCCCAAACTTTAGTATGACCCGCGGCGGTCGTTGTTCCGTGAAATTTTCATTACTGCCGATAAGCAGCCGTCTTCGTTTTATTTCGCCTATTATTAGATTTAAATGCCGTCGATTTTCGCTGACGCGCTTTCCTTGTTATGATTCACAAATGTTCTCGTATATTAAGAAAGAGAGGAAAGAAATAGAAGAAAGAGAGAAAGAGAGAGAGAAGGGGAGAGAGAGAGAGAGAGAGAGCACTGAATCGACGAGATCCCGACGAGCGTTGATTCTCTTTGTATTTGCAGTGACACCGTTACATCGATCGTATACCGAGATCCCCGAAGACACGACCTCGATATCGAGAGCTCATTAGCCTAAGGAGCCGAAAGAATTCCTCTCCCGGGGGTACGGAGTAACCTCAGGAAGGAGACAGCTAACGGCAGACGCGCGCGCGGAAACGCCACCGAAGGTGGGCCAGTGCAGAGCTTCGCGGAGGGTGCCTGATACTTGGCAGCGAGAAGATCGCGAAGAAGGTGAAGGGTAAAAGCATCTAAGGGCGGGTGAGGGGATGCAGCTCGAAAGGGTGGCGGCATGGAGGAGCCCTCGTTGGAGGCTCTCATGCAGGCGAGCCTTATCTTCGTGGTTGGCGTCGCCATCATCCTCTCGAATTTATTCATCATTGTCACTTACCTCAACTTCCGCGGTAAGTCCCTCAGTCTTCGCTCGGTATTGGCATGCTTTAAACGGCTCGTAATGTTGACTTTAACCGTGGCGCAACCGAGCGAGCGTGCTCTCGCCGCATCCGTCCCCCTTAGCGCGCACACCGGTGCGTGCACACTCCTCCTCCTCGATAGCGAAAACCCCGTGTAACTTCGTCAAGGGTGGAACAAGCCGCGACCTTTAGTCGATTAATTAGAACGTCATATCCTGTCGACCGGGTCGGTAACGAATAAGTTCTCATTCTAAGGAAGTTCCGTTTCCTGCAGGTCCCTCCGAGGTGATAAACTACTACTTGCTATCGCTCGCCTCTGCAGATCTTCTTTTTGGTCTGTTGGTGGTTCCTTTCTCGGTGTACCCGGCGCTGGTGGGAAGATGGGTCTACGGAGACATTGTGTGCCGACTGGTCGGTTATCTGGAGGTCACCCTCTGGGCTATATCGGTGTACACTTTTATGTGGATCTCCGTGGATCGTTATCTGGCTATCAGGTGAGCGGTCGAGGAAGAGGAAAAAAAGAGAAACGCTCAGTCGCGCACGTCGATCGATCACAGCGTAAGCCGCCAGACCAGAGCAGCGTGTTCGTGACGAGTTGCCTCGATTCTCTCTTGCAGGAAACCGCTGAGGTACGAGACCGTACAGACGAAGACTCGATGCCAATGCTGGATGGTTTTCACGTGGATCAGCGTGGCGATGATGTGTTGCCCGCCCTTGCTCGGCTTCAACAAGCCGATCTTCGACCGCGAGGCCTTCATCTGTATGCTCGACTGGGGCAACATGGCCGCGTACACCGTCACGCTGTCCATCCTCGTGCTGGGGCCGTCGGTAATCACAATCGTCTACACGTACTTCTACGTCTTCTCCGTGAAAATGCGGATGAAGTCCGGCGTGCTAATCCACGACAAGGAGTACGCCACCGCGCTATCGGAAAACCTGAGCAATCCAAGCCACAACATGTCCTTCGTCCTGGTGTTGATTTTCTGGCTGTCATGGGCGCCGTGCGCCGGGTTAAGGATATACACGCTCCTTTACGGCCCTCCTCAGGTGAACTCTCTGCCCCTCATCCTTTTTGCTCGTATTGTGTGTAGCTCTCAGCGATAGAAAATTATAGTTACCTTCGGTGCCAACCATACTTTATAGTAGTAGCATGTATATAAAGTTATTCATATACATATATATATATATATATATCACTGACATTATGATAACATTTACTAGAAAAATGTTTCTCCTAACTATTTTTATGGTTTAAATTAAAAAGTAAGTATGGTTGGCACTGAAAGTAACAATAACTTTATATTAGTGCGAAGGTTGATTGTTTATCTTCGTCGACATTTCTCACCTTTTGTACTTTCGTCTCATGTGATTAGAAACGCTGATGATTGGCTGTATTGGCAAAATGAAAATGCGATATCCTTACGATTCTATTTGATGCTATTCGACACGAAATTTCTTATCGAACAACCTCATGTGAGATATTTCGCATTTTCATCATGATGAAAATTACTTAATCAAACGGAGATTCGCTTTCATAATTTTATATTAAGGGGACCGGAAAGTAATGTCGCTTTCTTAAGTTAAATTCACACGACTACATTTTTAACAAGTTTTTATTTCTAATCAACAATATATTCACCTTCGTTATCAACAACCTTTTGCCATCTAGTATACAAATTTTCAATGCCGGAGCGGTAAAAATCAATCAAATCAAATATCGACATGCGCAGAAACGACATTACTTTCCGGTCTCCCTAATATTTTGAGATACACAATCGACCCCCTGAAACGCTTCGTTCGATCGTTCAGACACGAATAACGCCGACTTACTTGTCGTATGGCGTCGCACAAAAATGACTATTCCTGAGAACCGCGCCGGTGCCGACTGTAATGACAGTGACTCGGCACGGTTCAAAAATAACTTCTAACTTAGCTAAAGAAAGCATTGAAAATGACGCAATTAAAAATGCAGGTCGGCAAAGTTCGCAAAGCGGAGCAGGTTAATCAAGAGAATGCTCGATATACGATACATAAGTACAAGAAGTTTGCGAGAACATACAGCCTGGCGAACTGCCGTCTAGCCGGAATTCTTTTTTCCATCCCCTTGTCTCCGTAGATACCCACGCGTGCGCGAGAACGCACGATCTCTGATTTATTCAAGGCGAACTTTATTCCCCTTTATTCCAGCGTCGCTGGAAATTGAATTCTCGCGTCGTCTTCGCCGCCGTGGCTTTAACTTTTTCACGTCTAGTTTGTACGTCCTCCAACATGATTAAAAAGTCATATCTGTAGTAAATATCGAGCTATTAATGTCAACTAGAGCTCATGTTCAAGAAAATTGTTTAAACTTTAACGAAAAATATCGTGATAAATGCGATCAAGATAGAAAAAATTATTTATGTAATAATATCGGAAAGTTCTCGAACTAATCATGAACGGTTCGACATAATGCGTAGCATTATTTTCACGTTACGATAACTCTAATATAACTAATGGCATAAATCTCTATAAATATTTATACTATACATAATGCATGACCGCGCGTAATTTATTAGCTTTTCGTATTTCAATGATAGAAGAAACAACCATTGATAGAGAAATGCTAGTTAATTGATACTTACAGAGAATTTTTGAGAATCTTTCTACATAATTTCTCCCGGTATATTTCTTCCACTATGTGGTATCACAATTGTCACAATTGTGCGTTGATTTTTATATAGCATTTCACACCTGATCGTATTTGTCTTTCAAATAGTTTTTCTTTTAAGTTTTTATAATATTTTACTTTTTGCATCCGTCACATATTGGACCAGCATTTTGAATTTTTACGTTTCGATATTATTTCCGCGTTTAGCAACCCAAAAAATTTTTAAAAATAACTAGATAAGGTAAATTTATTAATGCCTAGAAACATACCTAACTGGATTTTCTGTGGTTCCTTATTGTTTTAGCCTTTAAATACGAATATTTAATCTTTAAACGTAAACTATTTGTATATTATATATTATATATATATATTCTATAAATGTTGAAAGTTTGAATATTGGTATTTAAAGACTAAAGCAACAAGAATGTCCAGACTTAGTCACGTGTCCAAGAATCCGTACTTTTATCTTATGTCCTATTTTCAAAACAAGTCGGACGTGAAAGGGTTAAATGTTGGACAACAACGGAAACTTGCGGTCAGACTTGTCCGGCTTACGCGGGGGATCAATTCTTTAGCAGCCGATCTTACAGCCAACACCTGGCTTTGTGTGGCATTTCAGGTGCCGTTTCTGCACTTTGCCGTGGTGTGGCTGGGAATTGCAAACAGCTTCTGGAAGGTGATCGTTCTCTGCACCCTGAGTCCCCAGTTTCGGCTGGCTGCGCGAGTGCTCTGTCTCACCGTGTTCTGCCGGCACAGGCGGCTTCCGCCGGAGCTCCTCGGCCTCGACGACGACGACTAACGCAACATCGACTACGTCTACGAACAGCAGCGCTTCTACGTTACGTTCTACTACTTTAACCGCGGCGCCTACCTTAGAGCGTCGTTTTTGTCTCTTCTATTTAAGGGTCGTCTTCGCGTCTCGGCACCGTTCGCAACGCTACTCTCTCCGTAACTTCGCGCTCGTGGTTCGCACAAACGAACGAGGATCGCGGTTCCGCGGGTGTCCGCTTTCGGTTCTGGTAGTCGGAAAGTGAAGAGACCACTCGAGCGGAAATACGAGATGATACGACACCGAACGATGAGCAACCAGATCCCATCGTGAGGGTACCGTTTTGTATACACAAAAGAAAATATTCGATTTCCATTAGATTAATAGAAAGTGCTGGATTTTCAAGTAGATAATTACTACAATACTCCTTGGCAAATTTTTACTTGGATTAATCTTTCGTTAGTCGCAGTGTCCAATAGATACAGGCTACAATATATCACCGTTGCTGTACGACTTCAAGATCAAATTTGTCCTTGTCAATGTTTTTCCCTCTTCTCTTTGTTCTCCATTGTTTTTTGTGTTCTTTAGCGCGTGCTAAAGAACATAAAATTTTTCCTTCATTAGCACCCGGCCGGGTGCTAATGAAGGAAAAATTCTTTCAAGAAGCAGAGGGAAGTAATGGGTAAATTAGTGTATCTGTGAGATACATTGCAACTATTCATGAAAAATCTTGCAATTAACGGAAGATTAAGCAAATCTTATTTGGATCAAGTAAACATATGTTACTCGATCCGCGTAAAAATTCGCTGAGAAATATTGGAGTAATTATTCACTCGAATCTAGCACTTTTTTCTCTGCGTTTCTTTGCGCGTTCTTCTCCCGGGGGGAAGAATATATCAATATATTGTCCGCTTGTTCCGACTATGAAAACGAGAGAAATTGCTATCCAAGCTACCGAATACTCAGTCACCCGGCTAATTTTCGCGACGGAAACATATCAGCGCATCGCCGCGCCGCGGCGCGAAGCGGAAACGAGCGGCGAGCGGTGCCTCGAGAGTCTTGCGAGACACATTGCTGGCGGAATTAGGCGACTCCGCTGACGCGCGCGTCCATTTCTCTAAAAATTAAAAAAACAGAATAATCTCGCTTCGCTCAAACACGCTAGAGTCCGTTAATTAGAGTCCCGTCTTGACCGGGATGACTTTCTGCGTCGTCGCACGTGAGAAATAAAACGAAGAAACGCAATGCGCGTCGCTCCGCGGTATTTGACTACTAATCGTCGCCTAGTCTACGTCGTAAGACCACGCTCAATAAGTGTCGTAGAATATTATGCGAAAAAAAGAAACAAAAAAATATAGAAGAGAACAAACGAGAGTTACCGATGATTGTCGCGCGAGCGGGCCGCAGATCTTCAAATCGTCAAACTGATCCCATTAAACGACACATTACGCCGGAATTGATGCAGGGAGAGAAATCTAGTCAATTAATGGAGATGCCTCTACGAATGTGACGCGTCGTCGGCGACGAGGTCTGCGTCGTTGAAGTGTCGTGCCCGTAGAACGTCCTCGACGGATATAAGAATCGAGTGCCGAGCGTGCGGACGTTTGCGCCTTTTTTTTAACGTTCTTCTTCTCTCACATCCGTGACGCGGCCGGCTCTCCCTTTCTCGCGCCTTCTTTTTCTCATCAAGGACGGATCCTCCATCCAGCTTGACCGGAAAGAGAAGGTGTGCGTGCGCGTGCACGTGTGTGTATGCGTGCGTGTGTACATGTATGCATGTGCCCTTTTCGGAGTCTAGTTGGGCTCTCGTTAGCTTTCTCGACGTGCTGGGTCAACAGGAGTACCTTCGTCCCTCTCCCCCCACCGATCAAATCAAAATGTCGTCGTTTAATCTAATTCTTAATCCAGATCATGCGAGTTTTACGGGCATCCTGACTCGACGCCCGCTGTAAGCTTTATTACTAATCTTGTACAAAGCGCTATATACAAAAATCGGCTAGTTGCGACTTTTTTGCATGAAAGCGTAAACTATTGCGTCCAATTTTCGCAGGTCTATGTGAACTATGACGACTCGAGGCGCAATTTCGAATGAAAACTACGAGCAAAGATAATATTCGAGAGAGAGAGAGAGAGAGAGAGAGAGAGAGAGAGAGAGAGAGAGAGAGAGAAAGAAAGAAACAGGAAATTTTTACTGGAGCTAGAACTGGAATCGAAATATCTGAGGGAAATGCAGATGAGTCGAGAGAGAGAGAGAGAGAGAGAGAGAATATTGGTCAATGTTGAGTCAAAATAACGCCAATGAAGTGTGCTAAGGAGAACATGTATGTGTCGGAGGTGTGGGGAATGCGCGATAGAAAGACAGACCTTTTGAATGTTTCTCATGACTTATGGCGCAATCAGCAAATGCGACCGCAAGACTCGACGAACTCGCCAATTCGCTTCTTTTGACGTTAACGATTCTGACTTTCTTATAATTTGTAAAATTGAAACTTATTGTTTGAAAATCACGAAGATCGCGGCGATCTCGACGTGCGAGTTCATTTAATACTGAACCGCGGGGTCACTTTTGACCCCACTCGTACTCTCTTAAGTTGAATCAGTGAAAATGTCACTAATTGAATCAATGAAACAGAATTCTACTGATAATCAGTGAGTATTCACTAATTTTTAGTAGAAGCTTTTCCACTCTTTCATCTAATACTTTGGCTAGTAAAAGATTCACTGTAAATCGTTATTACGTTTTGCATAGGGGAAATATATGTACATATCGTATATGCATTCAACTATATATCGTATTTGACGTAGTTAGTATAATAGCAGGCGCTCAAGAGCTAAAGGTTTTCGAGTTTGAGTCCCATCAGGAAAAACGCGTTTTAAATGCGATATAAATTAAATCAATTAAACATAATTAAGAATATTTCAAACAAAATCATTGACAATACCTTAAGAGTGGGATTAATATAATAAAAATGAAGTAATAAATAATATCTATTTTGACTGTTTCCGCAATTAAATATCTCCGATGGAAACGGTTGCTGCTATTAACAAACTTTTGCAGGGAAATTTTATTAATTTTCAATGCTATACTTATGAGTATTGCTCTGAAAATGAGGAAAATTTCATTGTTGTAACTACAAGGCGTTTGAGAAGTTTTGCACAACGACTCTAAATTGTAGATCATAAATAAATAAAATTAACTTTTCATTTACACTAATAAATAGGATCATGCATAATCGAGCCTGATGGCGTTTCATATTTTTTATTTATTTTAGAAAATGAGCGATCGAGAAAAATTTCATATTGTAATTGATTTTTGCGTAAGACTTGGCGATGATCTGCCTGAAATCATTTCCAAACTTCAAAAGGTTTATAGATCCAAATATCCACATTGTTCTACGATATCCAGATGGTTTCACTACTTACTTCAAGCAAGCTGAAAGACTATAAAAGACTCAACCAGAAGTAGACAATCTCTTAATTCGTTTAATTCAAGGCTATTCGATCATCTCGTATGAGTTAAACAAGACTCTAAAATTTCTCACTATTAGTATTAGCTGGTATTCTTTAAGGAAACAAAAGGATATGTTTCAAATTTGATTTAAATGCCTTTTAAACATGAAAGAGTCAATGCAAAGTAGGTACCTAAGATTTTGACCGAAGTTCAAAAAAAAGCTCGCGTTTAAAATGCAACAATTATTTTCAATGAATTCAAAAACAATTAGAGCTCTTTGGTTGACAATCTAATAACTGTGGATGAGACTTGGGTGTATAATGAATCGAATTTGACTGATCGAAACTGAGAACAGCTGGTGAATGGTAATTGCTGGGAAAAGCACCTCCTCAGATTAGTTATATCAAAAACAATCCCAAAAAATTGTGACTATTGTATTATGGAATTCGAAAGGGATGTTGCTTATCAATCTGAAAACGAGTCGTTCCATCAATGCTGAATATTACTGCCAATTATTAGAGATAGTCCGACCAAAAATTTCAAAAGGCAGAAGAAACAAGATGATTTTTTTTAATCAAAATCAATGACAAAATCAAAATCAATGACAATTGTCATGCTGCAAAGATGGTACACTCGGTCACAGAACGGTTGCAACAGTTTTTATTTCTCATATTTCCGAACACACAAAAATTATGACGAAGCGAACCTATGAATTGACGATCATGCGCAATAGATGATCTGACAGCTGTCAAATTACATATACAAGGTGTAAACATAAAGATAAGTAATAGAGCGATATATTAGTTACACATGCTTTAATACAGGAAAATTAAGATTGAAAAATTGGAATTATATTTATAAATTATATCGCATTTTCGGATGTTAAATACACGTAAACTTAACGAATTCCAAAAACAATCCCAAGAAAAGTTTTCTTTGTTAGTGTGATTGTTCCTGCTTTAAGCAACATTGGATTGATGCAATATTTTATTATTATTACGCTTTCCCTTCCTCTTGAGTTTCTTTGATAATAATTTTGCAGCAAGCCTTTCATATGCAGCAAACTGACTGTTTTCGGATTGTTTTTGGAATTCATTGAGTTTACGCGTATTTAACATGCGAAAATGCGATATAATTAATAAATATAATTCTAATTTTTTAGATATTAATTTTCTCATATTGAAGCGTATGTAATTAATATATTGCTCTATTACTTATCTATATGCCTACACCTTATATGTAATTTGACAGTTGTCGGATTATCTACTGCGCATGATCGTCAATTCATAGGTTCGCTTCGTCATAATTTTTGTGTATTTCGAAATATTAGAAACAAAAACTGTTGTAACCGTTCTGTGACCGAGTGTACAGAAGAAAACCGAACAACTTCAATGAAACATCTTGAAGCCTCCGCCTTATTCGCCAGATAGATATCTTCAGACTATAATCTGTTCAGGAATATGAAGAATGAACTTTTAATGACTTTTAAGAACGATGAAAATATCGACTGCAAACTAAATGCCTATTTTGAATAAAAATCGGAAGATTGCCGTATGTGGTTTTAGAAATGGAGCAGTGTCGGCTTAGTGTTGGCAACCGGCTTCCGTATTTCGGACCAATATTGGCATAATATCCAAATGATAAGAATGGCCCAACATTACGTGCCAGTATTGATGTAACACCGACATTAGTCCAACATTGCGTTGCGGCCAAAAGTTGGCTAATCGTGTTTGAGCTGATATCGCATCGCGATCGGATAGTTGCTTTTCGCGGATGGTAATTTCAGTGTCTAAGCAATGATTGACTAATTTGATAGCTGATATCAAACCGTGATATCGCCAACGACAGCCCGAGAGTCGATTATCGAGTAAGAGTCGACAAATTGTATCTGAGTTGGTTTTTTCGCGGTTTTGAGATGTTCAAGGATCAACTTGAAAATGTAATTAAAAATAAGGGAGATTATATTTCGTAGAAATATAATAAAAGGAAAATTAAAACTTGGTTCATTTATTCTCTGTGCAAAACTTCTCAAACGCATTAAAGGATCACTAGTGACTATTGACTGCTCCTCAGTGATAATGCACTGATTGCGCTTTAGAGAGTAGATTCCTTTTCCCTTTCTTTGGATTTTCATCATTAGCTGAGATAGGTCTTTATCATAAAACAATTAAATAATACACCATAAAGTTCATAAAAGTCCACGGGTAATTATGGAAAAAGAGGTAGATCGAAAGTGATCCATTCGCGGTTCTAGGAGGAATCCAAATTGCCGCGACTTTAACATTAATGTTAATTAAATCGATATTATTTGTTTTGGCTTCCGAGTTGTCGCTATGTCCTTCATGGATTTGTTCCCAACATTTCGTGAAGATTTCAATTCACTTCTTTAGGGTTAGATACGACCTGAAGAAGTGAACTGAAATGTGAAGTGAAATGTTCACGAAATGTCGGAAACAAATTCATGAAGAACGCGACGGCGAAAGTCAAAACAAGTATGTATCCACACCACGGAAGCCTCAGGAAGGATCAGATTAAATCGATATTAATTAGGTAAATTTGTTGAACAATGAACTTTTAGGGCGCGGTAAAACACTATAAAAGCTTTCTCGGCGAAAGATTCGTCCGTGCCTTGCGGTAGGTCGAAAGCAGCTAGCGAACGTGATCAGGATTCGCGGCGCCTATCACGAGCACGTATAGAATGCTGGAGTCGGGCGTAGCCGGTTGGACCGCCGCGTAACGTGGTCGAGATGAAAATGGAAGAATGCAATTTGCCAATGTTTCCTCGTTATTATGCTCCTGAATAGTGCTCGCGTGAATGTGTGGGCGCGTCCCGCTGTTTTTCAACGACGGGCAATTAACTCCGCAGAAAATTAAGAATCAGCATGCGAAGGAAATCGATGTCTAGAAGAAAAATCTCTCAGCTTCTATTTTTTACTCTAGACGCTCTCTGACACGTTTCACTCGAGAGTATAAAACTTTTCAACTTTAAGGAAAACTGATCTTACGGGAGCGCTTAACGCTGTTCAATTCGTAACATTTTTAAAGCGCAAGAGCGCGCAGGTGTGCGTTCCCCCTTCTGTGAATGAAGCTCCATCATAACGCTATATTACGATATCTTGTCTATTACAACGGAATCAAACGAAACACAAATAAAAAGAGAATTTATCGACTATCTCCTAGTTCGAGCGTTAGCTGTGTAAATCGCAAACCCGGCTAAAAAAACCAAGTAACGCAGATTCGTTCGCAATTTGAGTGAAACTTTCCGGGGAATGTTTGCGAGAAACTCGCGAATCCGACACGAGGTGTTACGTATGTTCTTTTTTCTTTTTTCGTATATCATCGGAAATTGTTACACGTGTTATTATTGTCAGTACAATGAGTAAAGGCGATGTAATGCGCTTGTTGGCGCAGAGACGGGATTGCTTCTCGTGTCAACTCGACGACGAAGGCACGTGGCTTCGCGGCATTACTTATTGCGCTGGGGATAATACAAATAAAAACAAATCAAAGCAAGCATAATTTGTGTTATTGACACACGTATCCGGTCATCCCTGATAAGAAGGACGTTTTCCCCAGAATCTCTCGCGTGTTTTCGAACTGCGACGAACTTTTTTGGCCGGGCTCGGCTACGACGCATTGAAACACAGATTTTATTGCGATTATCTCTTCGTACGTATAGATTCGTTGATCGTGATCCGGTTCTCTCGCCCAGATCCGAGTATCGTAAGCTTTATCCCGGTAATTTAACCGTCGTCGGTGCGCAGTGGTTCGAGATCTAGTTGCGCGACACCGAGGAGTTTCCTTTCTTTCTCCCTTGCTCTCTCTCTCTTTATCCCCTTCTCTTTCTCAGTAGATGAGATGTTATTAAACCAAACATATATATTCGGCTTTTCTCTTATATCACTCGTAATTAACCCCTAAGGTCACAACGATGGATTTTCACGGATTTTTCGCCGTTAGATTCACGAGATCCTCCTTCTTTGACATAAATGGCAGCGACGTCGGAGCTTCTGTACCGACAAATCCCGATCGTGAGGCTTTTGTGGGAGGTATTCGTTGAGCGAATTACTTGAAAAGAGGATAATTTGCAAGCGCTAGACAAAAGATTTATTTCACACGTAAGAGGCCGTGCTTCGGTGGAGATTCTTCAAACAACGATTCTTCCGTTCGGAGTGGCAGCTCACGATGATTCCTCGTTACGACTTTAGGGTAGAGTATCTGCAATTGAAATTGATAATTAAACCTTGTACTCGTCACAGCTCGTATTCTTCTTCGGGCTTAGCTGTTTCTCGTCTATTGTCTAACGATGAAGAGACGAATCTCGCGCCACTCCGCACTCGCGAACTCGAGCCATAATCGAGCAGTATTAAATTCCTCAAAAATTACGACATTCTAAACACGTGAAAGTCGCTTAAGAGGGATAAATGAGGAATGATCGTGCGCGAGGGAGCAAGATCGTAGGGCCAAAATGAGCGAGGCATCGCTCGTCCGCAGGGACGACGCAGGGAAATACTAATTTGTCGTCGAGATGAAAAGAACGCTGAGAGAGAGAGAGAGAGACGATGACGACGACAACGAGGAAATCAGAGACGCAAAATGAAATGCGAAAGGAGATAAATTGCGCGAACGGAGTTGGTCCCTGGCAGTTTCCCGGGCGGCCTCCATTATTAACGATTAATTACATTTTTGTACCTAGCTGCTAGTTTTGTACTAGTTTTGTAACGTACCTCATCACGGGCGTGCTGTTATTACATGTTTTAACAGATTGTTCGCAAAATGGATTGCTTCGATCGATCGCGGGACGTACTACTACATGTGACGTACCACTCGCGATCGTCCTTGCATCGCGATCGACGGTCGTTTCGCGCGGTATCGTACTTGTATACTTGGTGTGGTAACTATACAAGTGTCGCATCACAGAGGCTAATTTAAACATCATTGATTTTAAACGCGTAGTCGCGCGGTCAGCCAAGTGGATCTATTCGAGGTAGACGGGGACGAGGCGTGTTTTTTGCTCCCGGCGGCAGGAACTGATCCGCCAGGACCCTAATCGTGATTTGGATGTGGATCGCGTACGCGCGCAATCTCGACGATTGGGTTTACCACATTTAGTATACGGGACGGGAAGTGGCGTTTACGAGGAATTACATACAGGTCAGGAATGCTTCGCGGTTTTGACCAGCGTAAAATCAACACGGAAACACATTGACGCAAGTTGCAGTTTTGCCAACCGTATAGGACGATTTACAGACAACGTCTTTTTTTATCGATCCGTTAATTGCGAAGAGAGATTGGCTTAGTTGTGTATGATTATATACATGGTGGAAGGGGGACAAATTTCGTAAGTTTTAGAGGTGTAATCGTATTCCATGTGACATTTGTTCCGCGTGTTCTCATCAATTTCTTGTGTTTCTGAAAACGTAAAAGTGAGTTCCGAGCGTAGCGAAAGTTACGTTGTCACGTGCATCGTTGTTATCACGCGACCTTATAGTACACACGATGTAGTTTGTGAACCGTTTTATTTGGCCGCTGAAATGTTAACTTGCGTGTAGGCAATCAAAATAGATTTAATTAGTAAGCGACACTTTTTAGGGCGGGCGCATTGTTAATGAAACACAGAATCGGCGTTGAGTCGTTGACCGACTCCGAGGTAAAGCCACAAAATAGAACAAAAAATTAAAAAGAGGAAATAAAAAAAAACGCTGAATGTGTTATCTCGATGTGTATTAAAAAAAAAATTTTTTTGAAATCTCGCGAGCAGCGGTGTGTAAAACATTAGTGTAACACATGCATCCGTCTTAAAAATACTAGTTTGTAATAGAGGTAAAAGCGGAGGAAACGAGAGAGTCGCCGTAGAAGCAATCCCGATCGGAACGTAACGATGAATGTACTAGATACGTCGCGACGTGATATGACTTCGATGATAATGGTACAATATTAACGATTATTGTCCTAGAGATTATAGTCTAGCGAGAAGATATTCCAATAATAAACCGAGAGGACGTAGACGCCGCATATTTCACTCGATATATGAGGCTGGTCTGTCTTGTTTCTTTTATTTACAACATCATCCCCCCCAAAATTGCATTTTTTGCCTCGACGCTTCCCGATCCCGATCCATGTCGGTTGTGTCATAAGGAGAAAACGAACAGTTCGCTTGCGAAATAACTCGTGTTATTCGCCGTGTAGACCGTTACCATGTAAAACCGGCCTGATCTTACCGTGTCACGCACGTGGAACATAACTTACGCTTTACACGAGTGTGTCTGGCCTGACACAGACTGGTACTACTTGCTGGAGTCGTGGAGGGGTCGTCAGTCGATGCTAAGCGTTAGTCGATACTAACAAGTCCGTGACAATATTGCAAGTCGATTTATTGGAATAATGTTTCTCGGAGAATCCGCGTACGAAACGGCAGAATTTGTATACTCGTATATATGAAACCGCGATCTTACTTATAATTGCTTTTATTGGAAACAGTATAAGGTTATTAAACCTTTAAGGCCCACGCATCAATCCCATTGGAGTGAAATGTTGTAATTTATAAAGATTGTCTTGGAGAACGTCTCTGATGAAAATTTTTTTGTATAAATAATAAAATCGGCCAGCGAGAAGTACGATTTTTCGAATGCATATAATTGTGTACACATTGAGCGTGTAAGGTATAAAAATGAGAAACTATTGAAATTATTTTATTTAAAAAAACATTTATTTTCCGCTCGTTTGTAACATAATCGTTGAAGAACATCGGACAAAATTTTTATAAATAAAATATACTCACTTACGTTTTTCACAAGCAACTTTATATAAATCTGAGCGTCGACGACTCTGCTCCACATATCATTGCATATAGCGTTCTTCGGCTGGAAAGGCACTATTTCACGAATTAGGACGGAGAATATAGCTTCATTTAGGATGGATTGGTATTATATCGACGGGACCATTATTGTATCAATAGACGAGATTTGGCAAAGATCAAAAGTTAATGTACATTATTATGTACACTGGATATCTTAAAAGGTTAATAATCTATCTATCTGTAGAAGAAACGACGTTCTCCCGGGAAATCTCCTCTTAAAATACCTACTAGATATTTGAAGGTATTTGCTCGCGTGCAGTGAAAGACTCGTATTAATTGATCAATTAGCGGTCACGATTCGTTGCGTGGACACCGATCGATCGCGTGATAATCGCCGACAGTATTCCAGAGATAAATGCTTACGTTTACGACAGTTTAATCAATAATCGTCTGTATTATCTCGCGTCAGTTGTTCCTTAAAAGCGAGTAACGCCAGATCACTCGACAGCCAAGTGGCCGTTACATTCGGTACGCCAGCCACATAATACATGACCCGCAGCGCCACGTGATTATTTAATATTAAGTAAGTACAAATTCGCCCGTTTTTCTACGGACATCTTGTTTCACTTGACGGTGCTTTCAGCGGGCGAGTGATAACAAAAAGAGGGAGAGATAGAGAAAGACGGAAGAAAAGTAGCAGACAGTGCGAGGAGTATAAGAGCCGGCTAAAAGACGGGCAAACGCAGTTAATGTCGCATTACGGCGCGGGCTGCATAAGGACGTGCATCGTTTCGCGTGTCCTGTTGTGAAAGAGAGCCGTCCGACACGAGAGATATGACGGAGACCAGCGACGAAGCCAAAGTGAGCAAAATCGTGGCCAGGCCACGAGAAGCATTAATAATAGCACAGAGACTTCTATTTATAAAAATGCTTTCGACAAGTGTGATCGATTTGTTCGGGCGATACGGTCCCAGCCGGTGCCAGGATCAACGTAACGACACGATGCGCTTTTTCAATTTTAATGCCTTTTGTGTATATAAATAACGTGAAAGGCCATGCGCACGGAAATGCGACTCGCCGAGAAATCTCGCGATTCCTCGCACTCTACGTGTGTGTGTGTATTTTGCCCTTTCGCTAATTCACGAGGATACCTGTCAGGGAAGATTTATCCGCGAACTTCAGGAGCGAAAGTTTGCAATTTGCAACTTCATCGCCGGCGGATCGCATCGCACGTGTCGAAATAGATTGATAAAGGGTGCAACGTGAGTTCGTGAGCGTGCGAAGCTTTCTTCTCTCTTGCGCCCCGCGCGGGTGTACGGAAAGAAATTGCGTGCTCTCAAATCGCTCGCTCGCTTGCTCGGAGCTTGGGGCAACAGTCCGGCCCGTGTGACGTGCCATTTTCGTGCGAAATACAACACGTACATCGTTCGCTACTTTCTCGGCATCACGTGTGTATAATGTTGCATTTTGCTAGACACATCGGTATACGGCGCGCGCGATTCGATCATCGTGACTTGATAAGCATCTAATTCCGCGTCGCGTTCATTATTATCCGCTTGTGAAACATTGCCACGATAGATTCGCGAAATTTCAGCATGCACACGAGCAATCTCGCAAACAACATCTGCGTATCGACCCCTCTCCGCGAGCGAGCTTCTTCTCTTTGGACGACGTTGGGTCGGTTGGAAAAGAAGGCCACGATGTTTGATAGCGTACACGATTATCCTGATTGCGTAATTACGAACTTGATACATTATTTAGAGTGCTAGCAATTTTTAATTCATTGACGAATATCTCGGTGTCATCCAGAATATATCGTGAGTCATTGGTTGCCTGTTACCCTACACCGAAAGCAAAAGTGCTAAATTTTTAAATAAATAGAGTAAATTTAAATAATATTAAAAAATAACATTTAAATAATCGGAGTAATTATTTTACTTTGAATAAGTAAATATTATTTGAATATAGCATTAAAGGTAGAAAATACTACATAGTACTGGATTCAAATAAATATTTGTTAAATATAAAAATAATATGTGAATATATAGCACTTTTTTCTCGCACACTATGCTATATCCAAGTAATATTTACTTGATCCAGGCAAAATAATTACTCCAATATTCGTTAGCAAATATTTACTTGAATGTAACACATTGAAAGAAGAAAGTAAATACATTCAATTAAATATGTACTAAGTGTATTTTATTCTTAACCAAGTAAATATTACTTAAATGTAGCATACTAAAAGGAAATAAAGCTACATTTAAGCGATATTTACTTGATCCAAACAAAAGAATTATTTCAATACTCGTTAGCAAATATTTACCTGGATGTAGAACCTTTTTCTTTTAGTGTCCGGACATCGCTTAATTCTCAATTCTTATGATGCACCGTTACATTTTATAACGAGTAACAAGTGGCTCATTACGGAAGATTCGATAGACAATTTGTAGTGCCATTATTGGCGCGCGCGAACGCGCAACGATCTCGCGTTCGCAAGTTCCCGATTTCACGGGAGATATCCGTGATACAGCGATATCGACTACTTAGGGGTCGAATCGCGCGGAAATTCCCACACGACACGAACGATGCGTCGAAGGGCGGTGCCAGACACGAAACCGTGGCACCACGAGCCATCCCCTCGCACCACCTCGGCCGGTGTTCGCGAGAATTCGCCGAGCCTCGAGGGTGACTCTCGGTGCAGCCTGCACATCGTTGCTCAGTCAGCTTCCACCGTGGCCACGTGTCGCTCTCCGCCTGACTTATGTTCGTGCAAGCGCCGCAAGTCATTAAGCAGAGATCGGACGGGAATTCCGATGATGCTAGCGACGAGGAAGGTCCCGAGGATATTCTCCAGGTCGCGACAGAGCGCGGCTCGAAATTCCGACACGCTTCTCGCAAGGAAAAATTCGTGTAGATGCTTTTTAGTAGTCGCAAGAATGTCTAAGAAGACGCGATATATGTAAAATAAGCTTTCAAATTCGATGGATATGAGCGAGAGACTGAGATGCGGTTAACATTTTCTCGCGTCGATTAACGATCGTTGTCTTATGCTTGCAGAAACGGCGGGAGGAATGCGAGAGGAAGGCGAGGCGAGGGGAGATGGACCCTCGCTTGGAGTTCGCTTTCCAACTCTTGATGGATGCAACACAGTTGTCCCGGCACGAGGTGATGGACCATGTCTTTGAGGGCGACATGTTGGACGAAATTAACCTGCTGTTTGTCCCGCACATGAGATCCACCCTCGTCTGGTACTATCAGGAAGTGGAGGAGCCAGAGCCTCCGACCGACACGGTATGACATTGTTGATCGTTGGTTACCCGAGGACAGCGATAACAGCGAGAGTAATCTCGTTAAAGGTACAACCGAAAACTGTGACCTCCAGGTCAGCCCCGAATGCGACGGCAGCGAAAGTCAAGGAACAGAAGGAGCCGAAGGAACCGTCGAAGAAGAAGCTCTTCCTGACTGATGGCTGGCAAGTGCCTTGCACGGGCATCTGCATATATATGTTCAGGTAATCGACGTGATTTTAATCAATTCAATGCTCGCAGTGACCCTTCCTCTTTAAATGCGATCGTTTATTTTGACATCGCCAATACACATACACGGAAAAAAGGAATTAGCTGTCCACATGGTATAACTGAAACTTAGTTACAGATCTAGTTTTTAGCTGTGGCAGCTAAAAACTACGTACAAGAACAAAAAGAATGGGCTAAATTAACTAAATTTCATTTGTACCATATGAACGGTTAAATTTTACCTGTGGCAGCTATTTCTTTTCTTCCGCGTAGAATCAACGTGTCGAAGCCACTGCCCGAAGAAGGCTTCCAGAAGGACCTCTACACAGGTGTGATAGATACGATGAAAGTAGGCGTGATAACGTCCATCCAGCGAGTCGTGGAACAAGTGTTCATGGACGCGTTAGCGCACCCCGGCGCCGAAGGTGAGGACGATTGCACGATGATCAAGACTCTCTTGCTGCCAGGCTTGCGATCCTTTTGCAGCGCTCTCAAAGGTACCCTTGTGAACCTTAAATTCGCGCATTTTACACCCTTACACGATCTCGCGACCTTCTAAGTAACATTCGATGTGCGCAAAGTTTGCGAAAAGGTAGCGCTCGAGAGCAGCATATTCAGCGACGGCGAGCCAATGATGACGGAAGTGCACAACTTCGAGGAAGCGAAGATCTTCGTGGCGAAGGACAACGCCGTGGAGCAGATCGAGGAGAGGGTGAGGGTCTGGATAAAGAGACTCAAGGACTTCATGGCGGAGAGCAAGCAGGTGAAGAGGGAGAATGACAATTCCGGGCCGCAGCAAGAACTCGAATATTGGAAGCGACGGGGCGCGCAATTCAGTCAACTGGTCAACCGACTGCAGGTTCTTTTATGCCCTTTTAGCAAATTTAATTTATTCCATTGCGACTCGCGAGAAATTCACGAAGGGAGTTGCAGGATCATGAGGTCACGATGTCTCTCCTGTGCCTGCAAGTTGCACGCTCAAAGCTGATCAAAGACTGGGTCGACGCGGAGGACGAGGTAACCTATTGTTTCAACGAAGCAAAGGACAATGCCAAGTTCATTCAGGCGCTGGAGAAGTGCTGTCATTGCCTCTACCTCGACGATCCTGTGAGTTCAATCCTTCTTGATGAAACACTGTTCTCCTTATATTTTCTTTAGTTGTATACCCGATAATCTCTGAAATGTTTTTTAAAAGAAAGATTTACAATCCTTCGAGAATATTAAAGTTTTCATTTCTTAAAATACTACTAAACCGTTTTTTTCATACAATTCTATTATATTTGTGTTGTATAGAAAAAGTAGATTTTATTAAGTTTATGGTACTAGAAATTGGTTCGAAATATATGTAGCGATATTGCTAATCAATTTACCGCATTTCCATAAAAGCCACAAGTTGATTTACTATTATGTGCGCATTCTTATGTAAGGTTCTTTTCTTCTGATGAATTGACAAAATTGCATCTGAAAACAAACTTATTATCACCGAAACTTTGCCGGTTTGCTTTCTTCACAAAATCCGCACAAAAAAGAAATTTATTTAAGTTCCTTTAATTATAATTTATCTAGTTTCTTAATTATTATATGCTATGTTTAATATACCAATATACAGTATCAAAATATTTTGTGAAAAATATGAGTTAAACGGTATTTTACTCACCTTGAAAACTAAATGTTCCTTTTGAGCTTTATATTAAAACTTTTTTATTTTCGTAATTTTTCTCTAAATTACCATTTTACCAACTTTCTAAAATTACCAGGTAATTTGTCATCAGGTTTTGGTCATTTTCATCTCTAACAACAGCAAATAAAATAATTGTATTGTATGTACAATTAAACATTTCTTAAATTCCGTAGATAAAAATGCGAAATTCGCTGGTGTCATTGCTGCAAACTGTTCGGCTCATATACAGCGTCTCGAGATACTACAACACTTCGGAGAGGACTAGTTCCTTGATGATTAAGATCACGAATCAAATGATCGCTGCTTGTCGAGATTACGTCACAAAGAGAGGCCGTGAAACAGTTTGGGGCCAAGATCGAGTTGCCGCACGATCGCGATTGAAACATTGCCTACGTTTAAACAAGTACCGAAATTGAAATTCACATGACTATTAAATATATTATATGATTAATATATTATATAATTCGCTGGCACAGACGCATGCATGTGATATAATCGATCCATTTTCACATATGAAGATATTAATCACAAATTAATTCTTATTTCACAGAGCCTACAGGGAGACGTACAGGCTGGTTCGTTGCTCGCCGGCGGTGACGGAACAAGAATTCTCTTTCTCAGAGACGCACGTTTTCGGCCGATTTGACGCCTCCTGCGCTAGAATTCGCAAGATTCTCACTATGTTTGACCTCATACAGGACTACCAAACACTCTTCGAAAGACGAATGGAGGGACTGCTTCTCGGAGAAGGTACGCTTGACTTCGTCCTCATCTTGAACGTAACGTTACGTAACGTAACGTATGAGCGATGCGATACCGACTATCGAATTTTATAGCATTGGACGAGGCAATGAAAACCTTTGAAGAAGCTAAGAAGATTGCGACTAGCAAATCCTACGATTACCTGGACCCGAGAAACACCGACTTCGACACGGACTACGATGACTTCATGACGAAAACCGACACGTTGAAAGAGAGCATCGGCGAGATCATCGAGAAGAATTACGCCGATGTGTGGGAAACACCACAGGGAATACGGTTTTTGACGCGATTTGAAAAGGTAACGAACATACTTATTTCATTTATTCTTTTTTCTATTAATCCACGAAAGATATCTCGAAAATCCTATTCTTTCAACCCAACATTATTCAGGTAGGAAAGAGACGTCAAGAAGACAACATATTTTGATCATGAAATAAACCAAGTAGATATCACAAGTCGGGTCTTAGAAAATCAGACTATGTTGTCGATATGTCATCCACTAGACGTCATTATGTGACGTTTAACTGACGACGAAAAGTATAGGACCAATATAAAATAAAATAGCTGGTTATTTAATATCTATTTATTATGAAATATATTGATTGACATGATTTAAACAAAGTAATGTTTTATCATTTTATTTAAATAATTTTAACAAATCTGTCATTTTTATTTCTGTGTCATTACATCCTCATAGATATGTCCCTTTGTTTCGATCCCGTAGCGGTTCACCCATCCTTTCCTTAACCAAGGCAACCTTAACCACTCTGTTGCTTGACTTCTATAGTTGAATAGGAATTGGTGGTGTCATTGAGTTCCGATAATATCTTTATAGATTACGAGTTAATTATAATATAATTTTATATCATTTAAAATATTATTATAATAGTATACTTACTGGCAAATGTTGGAAACAATTTAACAATTAGGTATGAGATTATTGATATAATATGACCTTCTACTTGGATGTTTGTTAACGCTCTCAATTTTACAAAAGGTCAGTGAGAAAATACCGCTCGCGAAATTGGAGGAAAAGTACAACGTCGTCGTGAGGTATTGCGACAGAGAGATAGACCGGGTTTTGAAACTGTTCAGACGGCAGAGAGACGACCCACCGTTACCAAGACACATGCCGCCCATAGCAGGACGACTGACTTGGGCAAATTCCTTGAAGTAAGCGAAATAACAATCACTATTGTTTGTATGATTATTCACAACTACTGAGGAGTAACGTTGAAATTTTGTTAGAGTGCATCTGGACGAGTTGACGACGTCCGTGTCGAATCATCCTGTTTTGAAGACCTTACCACTGACCGGCGATTTAATCAAGAGATATAATCACGTCATCGGGATTCTTAAGCAATATCAGACCGACATTGCCGAGATCTGGACGCACCAGAATTCTTGGATCATCGAGGATTCTTTGAAACGGTCAGATCGTAAGATTAGCAACGAAATAATTTCGTTAAAACCATTTCATGGGAATGATTTCGTTAAAATAATTTCTTCGAAATAATTCCTCGTCTGGAATTAATTAGTCTGAAAATTCAGCGTTCCTTATCATACGTCATGAACTTTTTCTCAGACCGCTGCTGATAGTCGATGAGAAATCGGCGAAGGTGAAGGTGAATCTGGAAAGTCGAGTCGTTCTCTTGTTCCGCGAGGCCGATTGCCTGGCAAAGATCAACCTGGAAATCCCAATTGTCGCACTGACGATATTAGCGAAGAAAGATCACTTTACGCTGATTACGGACTCACTTCAGCTTATGATCGAGGAATTTATCTCTACCGCCAAGCGCGTGAAGTTGGAGGTTCGGCCTCTTTTATTACCGCATTTGGTTTGCGTTGCGTCTCTCTTGGAACCCGGCTTAACATTCTTAACGTGGACTAAGCCGGATTGGAAAGATTTTTGTCAAAACACAAAGGAGCAGATCAAGACCTTCGATATCCTCATTACAAGAGTGCACGATGTGTACGACAATAGGTGTGTGTGTCGAGGATAAAAGAAGCAACTCTGCTCTTCTAGCTTGGAAATTTTGCGAATTTGTAACGAAGCGTCCGGGTCACAAATTTTTTATCTATTTGAATTACGAATTCTCGACGAATCTACTGATGATGATTTCTATCCTGTCAGGATCCTGCAAGTGTTGGCGAGTATGCAGAAAGTGACCTTGCACACTTTGCCCGAATCCGAGCAGCCGTGGACGATCGAGGAGTTCGCGGAGAAGAACGAGGAGATATGTAGATCGGCTGCGGTGGATTTGCATCGCAAGAGCATGATGGTCGAGGAGGCGGTGGAGGAGGTGTTGCAACTTGTTAGAAAGGCCATAGACAGTTTCAAAAGCACTGCCAATTCTCAGCAATTTGACTTTCCCACCGGTGAAGGTAGCGCACTTAATGTCGATTATTAATGTTTGTTACGACGTGAACGCCATGCGATTTCGCCACCGGCGCGAAATCGATGCTGCAAACGTTACATTGCTCGGAAATGAAGGAGCGGAAGACGGAGAGGCGGCAGAACAAACCGTCCAGCAGGATTGGTCCGTGGTGTGGAACTGCTTCGATGACCCCCATCAATTACTAACTACACCGGGCGCTTTACCCAAAGGCATGCAGGAAATGGTTCGGAACGCGGTATCCGAGATGAGACGATATTATTCCAGGAAGGTTGTGGACGTATTAATAAAAGTCACCAGGGTATCTTTGGACGCAATCAGGAAACGGTTTATACGGGAACTCGATTCGGGTAACGCTCTCAACAAAACTTCTTTTATCTCCATGCTGAAAGAAAGAATTTGGCAACAATTACCAAGATTTGGTTGAATAATCTTAATTACAATTGTTTGATTATTGTAGTCAAATCATTTAGTACCATCCCAAATAGCAAAATAATGTCAAGTGACGTCTTAATAACGTCTTAATGGCGTTTCTAACGTTTCAATAAGACGCCATTGAAACGTCATTTGACGTCACCTTGCTATTTGGGATATATTGTATATACATTGAAAAAAAAAGGTATTTAAAAATTTATTTGTGGGATATAAAAATAAGCTTTGTTTCTGTAAAATAAACCTTATATCCCGCAAATGAATAGTTATATATATTTTTTCTAGTGTAATATTTGACTGTACTATAGTACAGTAGTATTAAATGATTTGGTTAGAGTAACCAAACAAGTTAAGACTATTTAAAATTACCAAATCTCGGTAATTGTTCATCAAATCCTCCTTTCAAATCAGCGTTTCGATGTTTGAATATTCACGACAAGTTGAATCGACAAATTGTTCTTTTTAATATAGTCTTCTTCTCTAAAAATCCTTACCCTTATAGAAGCGTCGCCAAACCCGATATTTCTATTACACGCGACGCTGATGATTCCGGCAGTGACGGTCAAGCCGAGCCTGGACGATGTTCAGGAAGCATTGACGACGGTCGGAAAGTTTATCACGGGCGTCGCGAAGGGAGTGTCACAATGGAGTGTCAAAGATAGCAAGGTAAGGGACTATGCTGAAATCATGAAATTATCGTAAACCCGATGCGTTCTGATGACGATCTCGTCGTTAGAACATGTGGAAGAATCTGCCATATGCGTCCAAAAGAAACCTGGCTGATGTCGTGCTGCGAGCGCAAAATAACTCCTCGAAACAGAAGCAGCAAGAACTGGAAGATTTGAAGACCAGAAGACGCAGGCTTTATAAGATTTTTTCCGAGGAGAGACCCGTGTTTCCAGTTCAAAGAACAAATTTCCACACGATGGTGATGGACAACAAGGAGATCATTAAATTGCTCGGCAATTTGAGCACTTGCACAATGGAATTACGACAGGTAGTCCATAATATACGATACTAACACACATGAGAGTAGCTAGGATTTCAATTAGGCGGGGAGAAGGGAGAAAGAGCAAAAATTTATCTTCACACAAATTTTATTATTATTTATTTATTAGAAAAGAATCTTCCTACGCAAATGAAATACACCAAAATTATTGCAGACAATGCAGGCACTGACATGTGATGGTAAAATTGTGAAATTTTCATTACATTAATTTTTTTATAAAGCATTACTACTACGTTCTACTTGCGCATCACGGGAATCAAGATTAGTTTGGGACCCCCCAATATATATAATTGTAGTTTTTTTATTTCAAATGTATTGAAATACCAATTATGTTATTATATAAATAAAGTCGAAATAATTTTGTATAAAAATACGTTTTATATAAAAAAAATTATATATATATGTGTGTGTGTGTGTATATTTTTTATTTATATACATTATTTTATATCATTATTATTTTTTTTTAACATTATAAGAAATTTGTTAAGAATAGAATTTTTATAATACGCCAAGAATATTGTGTCTAGCGGACATATAACATTAATAGAACAGTCCTATATTATTAAAAAATATCATAACATTTTTAGAATATTATAAGAATATTATTTTAATATTGAATAATATTCATACAATATTTTAGGAATATTACACATTCATAAGGTAGTTACATTTTTTTACTTCTATGATTATTATAATGTAATTGTTTCTCATTGTCAAAATTTAAGGAGAGAGGGCAAGCGCCCCCGTGACCCATCCTGACCTATATTAACATATATAAAGCGCAAGATCTCTAACATGTGCAGTCTATATTATAATCAACTTATTTTAACAGGATCTGACAGAATTTCTCGATCGCTGGAAGCCGTACAAGTTTCTTTGGAAGAATGAGCGCAGCATGCGAGAACTGTTGCAGATCTCCCTGTCGGAATTCGAAGCTACTCTTCGGAAGCACAGCGAGCTCGAAGATCGACTGGCCACCGAACCGGATATGATCATATTCGGCACATCGATCGCCGTGTCAACGGAGAAGCTGAAGTACGGTCTCTATACGGAGATCAAAGGTAAGTGTCGTTGTTACGACAAAGCAAGAGAAGATCGCTAGATCCGACGAACTCGGCGCAGGTTGCACGCACAAGATCGGACAGGCGATGAAGAAGAAGTATCGCCGCGAAATGGAATACGTTTACGCGCTGATGAGCGAGATGGACCGCAAACTGGACCACCAGATCCGCGACCTGGACGACGTGCGCCTCATCATGGATACTCTGAAGAAGATCCGCGAGCAGGAGGTCGACATGGAGCTGAAGATCGATCCTATAGAAGAGGCCTTCAACATAGTCACCAGGTACGAGGTGCCCGTGGATCAGGAATGTTTGGAACAAGTGGACAACCTGAGAGACACCTGGCAGAATTTGCTGACGCGGGCGCAAGAGAGCCACGTGCTGCTATTGACGCTGCAGCCGCAGTTCCAGGACGATCTGCGGAACAACCTCGAAAAGTTCCGCGCAGATAACGAGATGTACTGCGAGGAATACAGATCGTCCGGACCGATGCAGCCGGGCTTGAGTCCGCGAGATGCCTCCGACAGGCAGATACTCTTCCAAAACAGGTTTGACGGTATGTGGCGAAAGTTGCAGACGTACCAGAACGGCGAGGAACTCTTCGGCCTGCCCATCACGGACTATCCAGAACTCTCGCAGATCCGCAAGGAGTTGAATCTGCTACAGAAATTGTACAAACTGTACAACGATGTCATCGACAGAGTCAGCAGCTATTATGACATTCCATGGGGCGAGGTAGGGATGTCGAAGTAATTAAAGCCGTCCACGTTCCTCAGGAACGTTCTACGTTGTGTGCCACGCCATGACGTTGCGCAAACAAGACTACGTCATGACCATTTTCCGTAATTCCTTTAGGTCAATATCGAGGAGATCAACAACGAGCTGATGGAATTCCAAAACCGTTGTCGCAAGCTGCCGAAAGGGCTGAAGGAGTGGCCGGCGTTCTTCGCGCTCAAGAAGACGATCGACGACTTCAACGACATGTGCCCCCTCCTCGAGCTGATGGCGAACAAGGCCATGAAGCCACGCCATTGGCAGAGGATCGTGGAGGTGACAGGGTACACGTTCGATCTCGAGAGCGAAGGCTTCTGTCTGAAAAACATTCTCGAGGCGCCGTTACTGAAGAACAAGGAGGACATCGAGGACATCTGCATATCGGCGATGAAGGAGAAGGACATCGAGGCCAAACTCAGGACGGTCGTGAACGAATGGTCTTCTCACGAGCTGACGTTCATGACGTTCAACAACCGTGGGGAATTGTTGCTGAGAGGAGACACCACCGCGGAGACGATCGGTCAATTGGAGGACAGTCTGATGGTGCTCGGCTCGCTGATGTCGAATCGCTACAACGCGCCCTTCAGAAAGCAGATACAGCAATGGCTCTCGGACCTGTCGAATACGAACGAAATACTCGAGAGGTGGCTGCTCGTGCAGAACATGTGGGTCTACCTCGAGGCGGTATTCGTGGGCGGCGACATCGCGAAGCAATTGCCGAAGGAGGCCAAGAGGTTCAGCAAGATCGACAAAAGCTGGCAGAAGATTATGCAGCGTGCTCACGAGACGCCCGGCGTTGTACCTTGTTGTGTAGGTGATGACCTGCTGAAGCAACTCTTGCCGCACTTGCAAGAGCAACTGGAGTTGTGTCAGAAGTCCTTGAGTGGGTGCGTATATATGCGTGCATTGTATAATTAATAATACGCATTTTGCAGTGTTGGTCAAGTTAATTTTTATTTTTAACTAAGTTAATGACCTATAAAAAATTAACTTAGTTAAGTTAAAAGACTACTAGACCAAAACTAATTTAATTTAAAAAATCAACACATTGGCAACGAATGACGCATAAATGCGTCATTTAGAAATGTGATTTTAATGACAAATAATAAGTTTAATATCGATGAATTATCTTAATTTATATAAAAAAAGTTAATAAATTAAAGTTAATACATTTTAGATTAATTCTTTTAAGTTAAAACTTAATTAGCATTTCAAATTAATTCGTTAAAAGTCAACTCATTTAAAATTAACTAAGTTAATAATTTTTTTACTTAACTCTTAACCGAATTAATAATCAATCCTAGATCTTTGATAACACGCGTTTTTTCAATCGTGTTTTAGCTATTTAGAGAAAAAACGCATGATGTTTCCGAGGTTTTTCTTCGTCTCCGACCCTGCACTCTTGGAGATACTCGGCCAAGCGTCCGATTCTCATACCATACAAAATCATCTACTTTCTATCTTCGATAATACACGCTACGTCAAATTCCATGATATCGAGTATAATAAAATGACAGCCATTGTGTCATCGGAAGGCGAGACGATATTGGTACATATGCATGAGAATAATTTACAATGTACGTAGAGCACGTAGAAATTTATCTATATGGAAAATTTAGTGTTTCTGCACGACATTTTTAACAACTCGGATTTATATGCAATGAAAACGAAGCTGAAATTTTGAAATTTAAAATTCAATAATGACGAATATCTCCTACATTCTTTCATGATAATTATGCGCAGCTTGAGAGAGCAGTGAGGGCGGAAGGCTCCGTAGAGACATGGTTGATGCAGTTGCTGCAGACGTCGCAACTCTCCCTGCATTCTATCATCCGACAATGCTTCAGTATGATCAACGATGCGAATTTCAATTTTCTGGCGTTTCTCGACAAGATGCCCGCTCAAATAGGACTGCTGGGTATCCAGATGATTTGGACGCGCGACGGCGAACTGGCCTTGGCTCAAGCTCGCGCAGACAAGAAGATCATGATGGAAACGAACAACAAGTTCCTCGATCTTTTGAACACCTTGATCGATCAGACCACGAGAGATCTCACGAAGATGGAACGAACGAAGTTCGAGACCTTGATCACCATACATGTGCATCAACGTGACATCTTCGACATTTTGGTACGTCGTGAAAATGAAAGAAGGAACTTTTCTTCGCGCACACACATACAAACGCACACACACGTATCTTTTTATACAACAATTCATGTTTCATTCAATTCAGTGCCGCTTGAACGTGCGATCCGTGAACGACTTTGAGTGGCTGAAGCAATGCAGATTTTATTTCAAGGAGGACCTGGACAAGACCTCCATATGTATCACGGATGTTCAATTCACTTACCAGAATGAATACTTGGGATGTACCGATCGGCTGGTTATTACGCCATTAACAGACAGGTAAATGCAGTCGCAAATCGTACTTTACTCTGTATACGCCCAGTAAACATCAATCAACAGTAACATAGCAATAATGTTATAATTTCTCACTCAACAATGTAAATGCAATATAACGAGTGTGTCATGTTGAGTGAGGAATTATAACATTGATGTTACTGATAATTTGTCTTTACTGGGCATATATTGGATTAGTGCAAAGTTCGTCCCGTTTTTAATTGAAACGTACACATAACATTTATTCATTTATTTAAGAATACAATCAATCTCAATAAAGAATACCTCGGTTTGTTCGATGACCTGCCATCTTCCCGATAGCTGCATGATTTCACGATCATAGAAATTCTAGGATTTCATAGCGGAGAACTGATTGAAAAAATGGGAGAAAGTCTTGCATCAAACCAATATAAATTGTTACTTTACCCGTTTTTGTACTTTCAGGTGTTACATAACTCTGGCGCAGGCTCTATCGATGTCGATGGGAGGATCTCCTTGCGGTCCGGCAGGAACTGGGAAAACTGAGACCGTGAAGGATATGGGGAAGACCCTCGCAAAGTACGTGGTGGTCTTCAATTGCTCTGATCAGATGGATTATCGAGGATTGGGTCGTATCTACAAAGGGCTGGCGCAGAGTGGCTCATGGGGTTGTTTCGACGAATTCAACAGGATCGAATTGCCAGTTCTGTCGGTTGCCGCGCAACAGGTCGCCGTGGTGCTCGCCGCGAAGAAGGAGAAGAAGAAGCAGTTCGTCTTCACGGACGGTGATCAGATCGATATGTGCCCGGAGCTTGGAATATTCATCACTATGGTAGACACTAGCGCCGTAACATCAAATCGGAACAAGGAAGCCTGAATAATAAATTGTGAATTTCAGAATCCGGGATACGCCGGGCGAAAGGAACTGCCGGAAAACTTAAAGATACAGTTTCGCACGGTGGCCATGATGGTGCCTGACCGGCAGATTATCATTCGGGTGAAACTCGCCAGCTGCGGATTTCTGGAGAACATCACCCTCGCTCGGAAATTCTACACTCTCTACAAGTTGTGCGAAGAGCAATTGACCAAACAGGTAAAGTCGATGATTTGTCAAAACTAGTTTATGACTCAGTTGATAATTTTTCTTCAACATTAATGACATTGAAGAGAGAGGCAACAATGATTTTCATTAATACACTTTGCATTCACGTGTTCTTCGCAGGTTCACTACGATTTCGGTCTGCGAAACATATTGTCTGTATTACGGACATTAGGAGCGGCCAAAAGAATCAACTCCAAGGATTCGGAGAGCACGATCGTTATGCGCGTTCTACGGGACATGAATCTCTCGAAACTTATAGGTATAATTGTGTTAGTTCGAGGCTGAGCAAATCTTACGATGTTCTCTCTCTCTCTCTCTCTCTCTTACTTTTATCTATATCCTTTCATTTGCTGGATAGTTTTGCTTAGTTGCTTAATTTTGAAACGAACACATATTGTTTGCTGCAAACAGCATCTCTTCTGGTAATTGCATCTGTATTTCATCACTATATTTTGCTTAACTTGATTCAAGCAATCTGTTTCTAATGTCCTATTCTGTAAACTCAAGGAGCTTTACATCCCAGGTGTTTTAAACTCCAGTTAATAAACTATCTATTTATTTATTTCTTTTGCAGACGAGGATGAGCCGCTCTTCATATCTCTCGTAGCCGACCTCTTCCCTAATCAAGTCCTGGAGAAAACGTCCTACCCGGAATTAGAGGCAGCCATTGACGAACAAGTTCAGCAAGCTGGGCTGGTTTACCATGCGCCGTGGGTGTTGAAGTTAATACAGCTTTATGAGACGCAACGCGTGAGGCACGGCATTATGACATTAGGTCCGACAGGTGCAGGCAAGACGACCTGTATTCACACCTTGATGAAAGCATTAACGCAATGTAGCGAGTCGCATAAGTAAGTGAAATACGTAATAGCCTATGCAGCCTTTATAGAATACTTTGGAATTTAGATTATCGATTTTCGATGTAATCTGTTGAAGTTATGAATAGTTCGTTTAATTAAACAGGGAAATGAGAATGAATCCTAAGAGTATAACAGCAGCCCAAATGTTCGGCCGATTGGACGTAGCCACCAACGACTGGACGGATGGAATTTTTTCAGCTCTGTGGCGCAAAACGCTGAAATTAAAGAAAGGCGAGCACGTGTGGCTGGTGCTCGATGGTCCCGTCGACAGTATCTGGATAGAAAATTTAAATTCCGTATTGGACGACAACAAGACGTTGACTCTGGCCAACGGTGACAGATTGTCGATGGCGCCGACGTGCAAGATTATCTTCGAGCCGCACAATATCGATAATGCAAGTCCCGCGACTGTTTCGCGAAACGGCATGGTATATATGAGCTCTTCGGGATTGGACTGGGAGCCGGTTGTCACTGCATGGCTGAAGGCACGATCGACGCTGGAACAAGAAGTACTCGAACAGTTGTTCGCGGATTCTTTCGCCCAGGTAAATCTTGATTGACCCCGAATCGTTAATTCGACGCAAAAGATGTAAACCCAGAAAAAATATATAGCTATAGCAATCATAATGCTGATAATTATATGAGTTTTGCGTGTAGAATTAAAACTCCGCTCCCCTCGCTAGCTATATTGGTTTTGTAACGTCATAGGCGAGACCGCATTGATGGTCTCGTTCAGTTGAAGAAGCTCATAATATACCACGCCCTTAAAATCCCAACAAATCAAAAAAGCCCAAAAAAGCCCTCTTTGGGTGAGGCCCCGTCACACCATACACACAGGACATACATCTCAGGCAAGTATCTTCATACACAGAGGACATCTCATTCAGAATCTGTGACGGTGTGAAGCGCTGGAAGCAATATAACATCAATTGGAGAAAGTGGATCTTCTGCTTCTTCATCTTTCCACCTGATTTTTGCCGAAATGATTTTGCAGTTAGGAAGGCCTGCGAGGTTCCCTTAACGAGTTCATAAATCCGGGGAAGTTTGTTGACAAATCGTCTGGAGCGCCCTCGTTTTCACTGATTATCATAGCAATACGGAACGCGCGAAATTTAAAACGAACATTCCAAACAATCTATCTTTTCTGAATGCGTATTGTAATACACTTTATACATAGTATTACACTCTCGGTTTAAGGTTTATTTGTGGAGCACTCAGACGCTGATACTCGCCATCGACGTTTTACAATGTAACATAGTGAGGCAGATGCTTTGCCTGCTGGAAGGCCTGATACCAGTCGAGGCGACGTCAGAGGAGGCTGAGGACGAGAACACGGAAAAGGACAAGCCGCAACCGGTAACGGCGGAATACCTGAAGCACCTCTACGTGTTCGCGTTAGTGTGGAGCGTAGGAGCGTTGTTGGAAACCGCCGATAGGCTGAAGTACGACAGGTATCTCCGCGAGAACTTCGACACCTTGGATCTGCCAACTTCCGATAGATACTTGGACGCCACGGTGTTCGACTTCTTCGTCACGGACAAAGGCCTATGGGACACTTGGACGAGCATGGTGACCAATTACGTGTATCCCGAATATTCAACGCCCGACTACAGCAACGTTCTGGTTCCCATACCGGATAACGTGAGGATCCAATACCTGATAGACTTGATTGGCCGTCAAGACAAGGCTGTGCTGTTGATAGGGGAGCAGGGATCCGCCAAGACCGTCATGATGAAGTCATACATGAGGAAAGCGAATCCGGACACGACTCTGGGTCGTTCGTTCAATTTCAGTTCGGCCACTAGCCCGTACCAATTCCAAAAGACCATCGAGAGCTACGTGGAGAAGCGTATGGGGAATACGTTCGGGCCGCCGGGCGGCAAGAAGATGCTGGTCTTCATAGACGACGTGAATCTGCCGCAGATCAACGAATGGGGCGATCAGATTACCAACGAGATCGTCCGGCAAACGATGGACATGAAGGGGTTCTACTCGTTGGAGAAGCCTGGCGACTTCATCGTCATCGTCGACGTGACTTTCCTGGCGGCCATGTGTCAGCCCGGCGGCGGGAGGAACGACATCCCCTCGAGACTCAAGAGGCAATTTTGCATCTTCAATTGCACACTGCCCGACAATGCGTCGATCGACCGGATCTTCAGCGTCCTGGGAGAGGGGCATTATAACGTGAAGAGAGGATTCTCGCAAGAAGTGCGTCTGCTTGTGAAGAAGATGGTTCCTTTGACCCGGATGCTCTGGGACAAAACACGGTCAAAGCTACTGCCAACGCCTGCCAAGTTCCATTATGTCTTCAGTCTGCGAGATCTTTCGAGGATCTGGCAAGGTATGGTCGGCACGTTGTCAACGGTCATCGACAAGGAGAGCGTGCTGATGCTGCTCTGGAAGCACGAATGCACACGGGTGTTCAGCGACCGGTTCACCATACAAAGCGACAAGGACTGGTTCGGTAAAGAAGTAGTTCACGTCGTGGGCGATATTCTTGGGGAAAAATACGTGGGCATGCTGGATCAAGATCCCGCGTTCGTCGATTTCATGAGGTACGTTATGTTACGAAAATAGTAGATCATGAAACTAATGCATGTTTTGCCGCAGGGATGCCCCGGAACCGACCGGTGAAGAAGGTGAGGATGCGGACGTGGAGCTTCCCAAAGTGTACGAGCCGGTTTACGATGATCAGATATTGCGAGACCGACTGGACATGTTTCTCGCGCAGTTCAATGAGATGCAGAGGGGCGCCGGAATGGACCTAGTCTTCTTCCCGGACGCAATGCTACACTTGGTGAAGATATCCCGAGTCATTCGGCATCCGAAGGGCAACGTGATGCTGGTGGGCGTCGGCGGTTCCGGCAAGCAAAGCCTCACGAAGCTCTCCTCTTTTATCGCCGGATACAAGACATTTCAAATCACCCTGACTAGATCATACAACGTGGCTAATTTCTTGGAGGACCTTAGATTCCTTTATCGCACCTGCGGTGCACAGGGCAAAGGCACAACTTTCATCTTCACCGACCTTGACATCAAAGAGGAGGGCTTTCTCGAATACTTGAACAATATCCTGAGCTCGGGGGTGATCAGTAACTTATTCACGCGCGACGAGCAAGCGGAAATCATCTCGGAGTTGACGCCAATTTTAAGACGAGAGAATCCCAAGAGGACTCTCAGTAACGAGCAGGTGATGGACTTCTTCCTGCAGAGGACCTGCCAAAATCTGCACGTCGTCTTCTGTTTCTCGCCCGTGGGCGAGAAGTTCCGGAATCGCGCGCAACGATTCCCAGCGCTCATCTCAGGCTGCACTATAGACTGGTTTCAACCCTGGCCCAAGGACGCTCTAATCTTGGTCGCCAAGCATTTCCTTCACGACTTTGAGATCGCCTGCACCGACGAGGTGAAGGTTGAGCTGGTGAACGCGTTGGGTTCCATACAGGATATCGTCTCGGTGACCTCGACCGAGTACTTCCAACGATTTCGACGTGCCACTCACGTGACTCCGAAGTCCTACTTGAATTTCATCGGCGGTTACAAGAATATTTATCGGTCCAAGCAGCACGAACTCGGCGAGGGTGCGAAAAGAATGGACACAGGTCTAGCGAAGCTCGAGGAAGCGTCGATATCGGTCGAGATCTTGAAGAGAGATTTAGCTGTGATGGAACAAGAGCTGGTCCAAGCCTCCGAGAAGGCTGAGAAGGTGCTTCTGGAGGTGACCGAGAGAGCCATGCAGGCGGAGGCTTTCAAGAATCAAGTGCAGAGAGTAAAGGAGAAAGCGGAGCAACTGGTAGCCTGCATAGCCGATGAGAAAGCGTTGGCCGAGCAGAAGTTAGAAGCTGCGAAGCCGGCATTAGAAGAAGCAGAGGCCGCTTTAAACACCATCAAGCCCGCTCATATAGCGACAGTGAGGAAGCTGGGTAGACCACCGCACCTTATCATGAGGATCATGGACTGCGTGCTGATCTTGTTTCAACGTAAGATTGGCTCGGTCGTACCTGACACCGCCGCGCCGTGTCCGAGGCCCTCATGGGCGGAGTCCCTGAAGTTGATGGCCAGCACGACGTTCCTCTTGCAATTGCAGAACTATCCGAAGGACATAATCAACAACGAGATGGTCGAGCTGCTGCAGCCCTACTTCAAGATGGAGGACTATAATATGGAGACGGCTAGGCGAGTGTGCGGCGACGTGGCCGGACTGCTATCGTGGACCAAGGCGATGGCGTTCTTCCATAGCGTCAACAAGGAAGTGCTGCCGTTGAAGGCGAATCTGGCGCTGCAGGAGGCACGGCTGAAGCTCGCGATGGAGGACCTGGCGAACGCTGAGAGAGAGTTATCCGAGAGGGAGATGGCTCTGCAGGCGGTCAAAGAGCAATATGACAGCGCGGTGGCGGAGAAGCAACGACTAACGGAGGCAGCGAACGTGTGCCTGAGGAAGATGACGGCCGCGACTGCCTTGATCAACGGTTTAGGCGGCGAGAAGATCCGCTGGACCGAACAAAGCGGCGAGTTCAAGATTCAGCTAGGACGATTGGTTGGAGACGTTCTGCTGGCGACCGGATTCTTGTCGTACTGCGGACCTTACAATCAGCAATATCGAGCCAGCCTGGTGAATGCGTGGATGAATACACTGACCACCAAGTCTATACCGTTTACCAAGAATCTGAATATAACGAACATGCTGGTCGACAGCGCGACCATGTCGGAGTGGACTCTTCAGGGGCTGCCGAACGATGAATTGTCCGTGCAGAACGCGCTCATTGTCACCAAGTCCTCGTCTTATCCGCTCCTTGTGGATCCTCAGAATCAGGGAAAAATGTGGATCAAGAATAAGGAAAGCACGAACGAGCTGCAAATCACCTCGTTGAATCACAAGTACTTTCGCACCCACCTCGAGGACAGTCTCTCGTTGGGCAGGCCGCTGCTGATCGAAGACGTGGCGGAGGAGCTCGACCCGGTGCTCGACAACGTGCTCGAGAAGAACTTCATCAAGTCGGGTTCCATCGAGAAGGTAATCGTCGGCGACAAGGAGTGCGACGTAATGCCGGGATTCATGCTGTACATCACCACCAAGCTGCCGAATCCCGCGTACAGTCCGGAGGTCTCCGCGAAGACGTCGATCATCGACTTCACGGTGACGATGCTGGGTTTGGAGGATCAGCTGTTAGGTCGAGTGATACTTATGGAGAAAGCCGACTTGGAAGCGGAAAGGGTCGCCCTGTTCGAATCGGTCATGACCAACCAGCGCTCGATGAAAGAGCTCGAGAGTACGCTGCTGCACAGACTCACGTCTTCGGAAGGCTCCCTGGTGGACGACGAGGCGCTGATAACCGTCCTCCGAGAAACTAAGACCACAGCCGAGTCAGTGAACGAGAAGCTGCAGGTGTCCGCCCTCACCGAGAAGAAGATCACGTTGGCCCGCGAGGAGTTCCGCGCAGTCGCGTCGAGAGGGTCCATTCTGTACTTCCTGATAGTCGAGATGAGCAACGTCAACGTGATGTACCAGAACTCATTGCGGCAATTCCTAACGATCTTCGACAACTCGATCACCAAGTCTACAAAGAGTCCCATCACCCATGAGCGAATCAACACAATCCTGCGTCACCTCACCTACGAGGTCTGGGCGTTCACCCTCAGGAGCCTCTACGAGCGACACAAATCTCTGTTCACGCTGATGCTAGCTATGAAGATAGACTGTCACAAAGGCATCATCTCCCACGCGGAATTCAACGCCTTCATTAAAGGAGGCGCGTCTTTGGATCTCAACGCGGTAACGCCGAAGCCGTTCAAATGGATACTCGATATAACGTGGCTGAACTTGGTCGAGATCAGCCGGCTCGAGGTGTTCGCCGACATCCTCACCAAAATCGAATTCAGCGAGAGGGAATGGAGGATGTGGTACGAGAAAGAGAAGCCGGAGGAGGAGGAGCTGCCGTGCGGCTATCAGAAGAGCCTCGACGTGTTCCGGAAGTTGCTGCTCATCAGATCATGGAGCCCCGACCGAACTTTATCGCAGGCGAGGAGGTATATCACCGAGTCGTTGGGCAGAGAGTACGGAGAGGCGAAAATATTGGACCTAGAGGCGACATGGCTCGAGTCCGAGACCAGAACGCCACTGGTGTGTCTCTTGTCTATTGGATCCGACCCGAGTCCGCAAATTACAGCGTTGGCTAAGCAGAAGACGATCCGTAAGTCACGATCGATCCTGCTCATGACGAGGTTTTCACCACGAGGTCTTTTTACAGCGTTAAACTCGGTATCCATGGGACAGGGCCAAGAGTTTCACGCCCGCAGGATGATCAGCGAGGCCATGAACACGGGCGGCTGGGTTCTCCTGCAAAATATCCATCTATCGTTGCCGTTTTGCACCGAGGTGATGGATGCTCTCGTCGAAACGGAGACGGTGCACGAGGCGTTCAGACTTTGGATGACGACCGAAGTACACCTTCAGTTCCCCATCGGCTTGCTACAGGTTGGATTCTCGACTCGAGTGAAAAACTGCACATTATCGTAAACGCGAAGAGATGCAGCACGAATTCGAAGAAGCCCAGACCTCCTAAAACGAACTGTTTCAGATGGCGATCAAGTTCACGAACGAGCCACCTCAAGGCATAAGGGCTAGCTTGAAGAGGACTTATCAAGGGGTGACACAAGACACGTTGGATTACAGCACGCAATCGCAATGGCCACCCCTGTTGTACGCTGTCGCGTTTTTGCACACCGTGGTGCAAGAGAGGAGAAAATTCGGACCGCTTGGCTGGAACATACCCTACGAGTTCAATCAGGCGGATTTTGCGGCGTCCGTTCAATTCATACAGAACCATTTGGACGATATGGATCCTAAGAAGGGCGTCTCCTGGCCGACCGTCTGCTACATGCTCGGAGAGGTTGCGATTTGTGTCTACATATATTCGCGCGAAATAATTATACAGAGCGCGCCAAAAGTCTGATATACAATATGGCAATACATACATACAGTCGAATACCTCGTAAACAATGCAGTCTTGAAAAAAATGTTTCAGATAAAAGTTGTAGGGTTTAAAAAGATCTTTTTATTAAGTTTATCAGTTTTACCCTTGGGTGGAGATGTCAATGTTAAAAAAAGGTCAACTTCATTTTTTAAATGGAATCATGTAGTTTTCTTAACACAAATCGATTTCTCTATTCGTTCCTCGTATAAAAGTACTAGAGTAAGATTATCGAAAAGTGAACATTTTTCCAGATATTTTACTTTTTATTCTACAAGATATGAAATATCTCATATTCATTTCAATAACATTACCTTAACATTCTTTTGCGTAATAATATGAGAGAGCAATTGATTATTAATATTAATTATTATACATCGATATATTTGCAAAATACAATGCATTTTTTTAAGATTTCTCTAAATTTACAGCGATTGATTCCACCTGTCATTCTACGTACAAAAGTATAATACTTTTATATGCAGAATGAACAGAGGAATGGATTTGTGTTTCAAAAATTATATGATTCCATTTGACAAAATAAAGTTGACTTTTATTCGAAGCCTCCATCCAAGGCCAAATCGATAAGATCGATAAATAGATGAGCGGCGAGATCTTTTTAAATTCTACAACTTTTATCTAAAACACCTTTTTCAAAATTATACTACGTTTACGAGATATTCTACTGTATCCAGACTTTTAGCGTACCCTCTATAATTTGATAGCGTTCTCTGCATCTCTCACCTCATCCCCTCTCATCGCCGCTTCACAGGTTCAATACGGCGGTAGAGTCACCGATGACTTCGACAAACGTTTGCTGACGACTTTCACACACGTCTGGTTCTGCGACGTGCTGTTACGACCAGGCTTCGAGTTCTACCGAGGATACAGGGTACCTCAGACGAGAAACCTTCAGGGATACTTAGACTACATCGACAGTTTACCAGCCACCGACACGCCGGAAGTATTCGGGTTGCATCCAAACGCTGATATCACTTACCAGATCAACACAGCGAAAGGGATCCTCGACACGATTCTCAGCGTACAGCCGAAAGAAGGTGGTGTACAGGGCGGTGAGACCAGAGAGAACGTCGTGTATAAATTAGCTGATGACATGTTGTCCAAATTACCCAAGCAGTACAACTCATTCGAGGTGAAGGAAGCTCTTCAAAGGATGGGGCCGTTGATGCCAATGAATATATTTCTGAGGCAAGAAATAGACCGGTAAGAGATAGACGTTAGCGTTTTGTCGTATCGGGCATAAAGAAATAATGTCAACATCGACGGAGTGTCACGGAATATAATCCGATGAGAACACAGAGACAAGTGGTTTTTCTGTACGACGGCTTCTTCTCTTCCAAGGATTTCGAGAGTCATCAAAGAGGTGCGCAGCACTTTGACGGATTTGAAACTGGCTATCGAGGGTACCATCGTGATGAGTCAGGGTCTGCGAAAATCGCTGGACGCGATGTACGATGCGCGTATCCCGGAGAGGTGGTTGAAGATATCCTGGGAGTCAGCGACTTTGGGCTTTTGGTACACGGAACTTCTGGAAAGAGACTATCAGTTCAGACAGTGGTGCAACCACGGCCGTCCGAAGGTTTTCTGGATGACCGGGTTTTTTAATCCGCAAGGATTCTTAACGGCAATGAGGCAGGTGAGGTGGAAAGTGAAACGCGATGTTCGAGGTAAACTGTGTTTATCTCTGTTCTTTGGTACTTAAATTATCTTAACGCCAATTAGACTTGGATCAGCCGTGTCACTTTGTACATATGTGTCAGTTAACGCATACATACATAAATTAACGTAATAATTAACGTTACATATATAAATTAACGTAATAATTAACGTTACATACATAAATTAACGTAAATGAATTTCAGGAAGTGACCAGAGCGCACAAGGGATGGGCTTTGGATTCTGTCGTCCTGCAAAACGTGATAACGCGTTACAACAAGGAGGATATTAAAAATCAACCGCAGGAGGGAGTTTACGTCCACGGTTTGTTTCTCGAGGGTGCGTCGCTCGACCGAAAAGCCGGCAAACTCGTCGAGAGTAGGCCGAAAGTCCTCTACGAACAAATGCCAGTCATTTACATTTTCGCGATAAATACTACAGCCGGCAAAGATCCGAAATTATATGAGTGTCCTATATACAGGAAACCTCAGAGAACGGATGCAAAATACGTGGGTTCTATCGATTTCGAGACGGATCACAATCCTCGGCATTGGACACTTCGAGGTGTAGCCCTGCTATGTGATATTAAATAAGATAGATGAATAGACACAGGGAGATCAATTTATTAAATATTTCTCCTTTGATTCCTCTCAGGGCGCAACGGAATGACAAATAAGAAAAGGAAATGTATATAATATAAGTACATTCAAGAATATGTAGCTAACCATATATACTACAGCCAGATACTTAGATGTGCGCGCGCGCGTGTGTGTGTGTGTGTGTGTGTGCATAGAGAGAGAGAGAGAACAGCGACTACATTAATTAAGTTTTGTGAACAAAGATTTTTCGAAATAATCATGAAATTTTGCTTCAAAAATATGAAATATCTCAATAACTAACTTGACAATTAAATATAATTAGTGAATATATTGTATGTATAAATGTGTTCTCACTTTAATCTTTCTTCTTCGTCTTTAATTTATATTATAAAAATATGTGATCTAGTTCATATTCGAATCAATACCTAACGTTATACGTTGCAAATCATTTAATATGAATAACTGCAATATGTGGCACGCTAGTGTGCACATACACAAAGGATTTTACATATATACATCTAGCAAACAAAATTGCAGTTATATAACTGTTAGTTGTAATTTCCTACTCAACAATGTAACTGTTATATAACATACGCGTTATTATATAACAATTACATTGTTGAGTAGGAAATTACAACAGTTATGTAACTGCAACTTTCTATATCTATCTATCTATCTATCTATCTATCTATATATATATATATATATATA